CTCTTTGTTTATTACTTGTATCCTCATCTAACCGCCCTCTTGCCCTCTGACCCAATCAAGCGTTTTGTAGTTTCTTTAATGCCATGGTACATGTTTTCTGTTGTTGTTGAAAATTCCTTCTCTTCTCGACTTTCTGGTAAAGTCCCACTTACTCCCACATCAAGTTAGGATGTGTGGCTCCTCATTTGAAAAGTCTTCTCTGGTCACCCCTCTGGCCCTGTAGAGCTGATCACTTCCCTCTTTGTAGCCCCGCAATAATACATGATGCAAACCTCTGTTAAAGCACTGATCACCCTGAAATTTCAATTTTTAGTTAATATTTCTAGTACCCTGACTAGACCATGAACTCCTTGAGGGCAGGTACTTTACCTTCCTTACCTAGCACTGGAAACAGCAAGGCATTGGTTTCAGTGAAAGTTACATGCATCACTGGATGCAGTGGCTCACGCCTGTTCCCAGCACTTTGGGAGGCTGAGACAGGTGGATCACCTGAGGTCAGAAGTTTGAGACTAACCTGACCAACATGGAGAAACCCTGTCTCTACTAAAAATACAAAATTAGCCAGGTGTGATGGTGCATGCCTGTTATCCCAGCTACCTGGGAGGCTGAGGCAGGAGAATCACTTGAACCTGGGAGGCGGAGATTGCAGTGAGCCAAGATCACACCATTGCACTCCAGTCTGGGCAATAAGAGTGAGACTCTGTCTCAAAAAAAGGAAAAAACGTTGCATGCATCATGAATGAATAGAGAGTTTAACAGAAGTTAGTGGGTGGCTCATGCCTGTAATCATAGCACTTTGGGAGGCTGAGGTGGGCAGATCATCTGAAGTCAGGAGTTTGAGACCAGCCTGGGCAACATGGTGAAACCCCATCTCTACTAAAAATATAAAAATTAGCCAGGCATGATGGCAGGTGCCTGTAATCCCAGTTACTCAGGAGGCTGAGGCAGGATAATCGCTTGAACCTGGGAGGCACAGGTTGCAGAGAGCTGAGATCCTTCCACTGCACTCCAGCCTGGGCAACCAAGTGAGATTCCATCTCAAAAATAAGAAGTTAATGAATTGCCTACAACCTTGTCCTCTTTGTAGGGGACAAGCCCAGAAAGCCAGATGGTAATTGTTGTGAAACTTGTAGGTTTATTAGGTTTATTTTGTACCTTTGCCTTCCCAGAAAAATTAAAGTTAAAAGCATTGTTATAATGCTGATAACACCTAATGTTTATATAGTGCTTTATAGCATACAGACTGTCCAGATGAGAAAAATGAAATACAGAAAGTCTATCACTTGTTAGAGGTAGGTAACATAGCCCTTAAGTAGTAGAGCAGGACTTGGGACTGAGGCCTTCTTATTATAGATTCTATATTCTTTTTATTATTACTGTCTCAGATATGTCTATCAACTTGTGATTTAAAGAATTACAAAATTTGGCTGAGCATGGTGGCTCACGCCTGTAATGCCAGCACTTTGGGAGGCTGAGGCAGGTAGATCACTTGAGGTCAGGAGTTCGAGACCAGCCTGGGCAATGTGACAAAACCCAGTCTCTACTAAAAATTCAAAAATTAGCTGGATACGATGAAGTACTCTTCTTATCCCAGCTCTTCAGGAAGCTGAGGCAGGAGAATCACTTGAACCCAGGGTGAGCTGAGATCATGCCACTCTATTCCAGCCTGGGTGACAGAGACCCCTGTCTCAAAAAAACAAATTACAAAATTTCCATTTCAGAGGGCTACTCCTCTTCTGTTCCTCTTCTGTTGTCCCCAATCTCTTGCGGACAAAGAAATCATTTATTTTATCATACACACACTGGGAAGAACCTTCGTTATTCCATGTAAACTGTTAATTGTAAGTAAAGGCAGATTAGGTCTTTCTCTTCTGGGAACTTAGAAACCTCAGATAACTTATATGGTGTCAGAGAGAAATGTTTTTGGCGTGCTCAAGATTGAACAAATTTGTGGCCGGGTGTGATGGCTCATGCCTATAATTCCAGCACTTTGGGAGGCCGAGGCGGGTGCATCATAAGATCAGGAGATCGAGACCATCCTGGCTAATGTGGTGAAACCCTGTCTCTACCAAACATACAAAAAATTAGCTGGGCATGGTAGCAGGTGCCTGTAGTCTCAGCTACTTAGGAGGCTGAGGCAGGAGAATCGCTTGAACCTGGGAGGTGGAGATTGTAGTAAGCTGAGATTGTGCCACTACAGCCTGGGTGAAATTCTGTCTCAAAACAAACAAACAAAAAACCTTAGATATTGTATATGATCTATTCATTTGATAGTTCTTGTTGAGCTACCTGTCTAACTGGGTGCTGTAAGACTATCACAATCCCTGTTGTCATGGGGGTCACGGGCAAGTTGGGGAGACAGGTGTTAATCAGGGACCCCTGCAGAGGAGAATGAATTATATCACAGGTGCATTAGAGGCAGTGTTGGAAAGTTAAAAAGAACCTAGAGAAGTGAAGAGGCCTAAGGTTATGAGCTATATGACCCAGGAAGTTACTTTCCCTTGCTGGTGCTCATTCTTTTTTCCTCTACAAAATGACTCAGTTTGATCAGTTGGTCTCTTTTTTCCTTCCAGCTTATGAAAGTGCCTTTGTTAAAACAATGAGTCAGGAGACAGAGTGAAGCATTCTATTGTATGAACTGCTTATCGAATAATAACATTAAATGTTTCATTTATTATCTTTCTAAGCAGAGTTCAGGCTCAAAGTGTCTACATTGGCTGCTTTAGTCTACTGAGAAAAACATACTCATATCTCACCTCAGTGCTTGGCATTTGAGTGGGCCCTCTTAATAATTGTTAGGTTATTCTGACATTTGAGGGATTGGCTCCAGATTCTCCAGATCCTCTTTGTTTTGTGATCGTAAAAATCATCAGTCCTGTGTCCCCAGTACCTGCATTTGATATGTAAAATGAGAGTAATAAACCAACACTTTTTTAAATCAGACAGGGTCTTACTCTGTTACCCAGGCTGGAGTGCAGCAGTGCAGTGGCATGGTCTCAGCTCACTGCCACCTCCGCCTCTCAGGCTTAAGTGATCCGCTCACCTTAGCTTTCTGAGTTGCTGGGACTATAGGTGTGTACCACCACACCTGGCTAATTTTTGTAGAGATGGGATTTCACCATTTTGGCCAGACTGGTCTTGAACTCCTGAGCTCAAGTGATCCTCCCACCTTGGCTTTCCAAAGTGCTGGGATTTAGGCATGAGCCACCACACCTGGCCAACACTTCTTCTTTTTTTTTTTTTTTTAAGATGGAGTTTCACTCTTGTCGCCCAGGCTGGAGTGGAATAGCACCATCTGCAGTCACTGCACCCTCCACCTCCTGGATTCAAGTGATTCTCCAACTTCAGCCTCCTGAGTAGCTGGGATTACAGGTGCCCGCCAACATGCCTGGCTAATTTTTATATTTTTAGTAGAGATGGGTTTCACCATGTCGGCCAGACTGGTCTGGAACTCCTGGCCTCAAGTGATCTCGCCTCGGCCTCCCAGAGTGCTGGGATTATAGGCGTGAACCACGATGCCCAGCCCAACAATTCTTAATAAATCTACAGAGGCTCTGATTCAGCAAGAAATCAAGTATTTGTTGAGTTTCTGCTATGTGGACAACAGTGCTAGGGAACAGTACTGTACCTAATGAATAAATATCCCCTGCCCTAGAGGAATTAATGGGTTAGTAGTAGAAAATAAAGAGCAAGGTATAGCCGGGCGCAGTGGCTCATGCCTGTAATCCCAGCACTTTGGGAGGCCGAGGCGGGTGGATCATGAGGTCATGAGATCGAGACCATCTGGTCAACATGGTGAAACCCTGTATCTACTAAAAATACAAAAATTAGCTGGGCATGGTGGCGCGTGCCTGTAGTCCCAGCTACTTGGGAGGCTAAGACAGGAGAATTGCTCGAACCCAGGAGGCGGAGGTTGAGGTGAGCTGAGATCGCGCCATTGCACTCCAGCCTGGGTAACAAGAGCGAAACTCTGTCTCAAAAAAAAAAAAAGAGCAAGATATATCAGTGCAAGAAAGTATATGTGCTGTGATAGAAGTTTAGGATTGGGGGTACAAATGTAAGATTAGTTTTGCTGGCTGGCAGGAGGGGAAATCAATGAAGGGGCAACATAGTATAGGGAAAAGGATATTAGGTTTCGAGTCAGCAAACCTGGGTTTATAGAATCTCAACTCGTATATTAGCTCTCTGTATATTAGCTATGTATTTGATTTCTTTGAGCCTGGGTTGCATCATTTATATAAAGCAATTAATAGTCTTGGCTGGGCGCATTAGCTCACACCTGTAATCCTCGCACTTTGGGAGGCCAAGGTGAGCACATCACCTAAGATTGGGAGTTCGAGACCAGCCTGACCAACATGGAGAAACCCTATCTCTACTAAAAATACAAAATTAGCTGGGTGTAGTGGCGTATGCCTATAATCCTAGCTACTCGGGAGGCTGAGGCAGGAGAATCACTTGAACCCAGGAGGTGGAATGAGCTGAGATTGTGCCATTGCATTCCAGCCTGGGCAAAAAGAGTGAAACTACATCTCAAAAATAATAATAATAATAATAATAATAATAATAATAATAGTCTTCCCCACGGTCATTGCAAGTATGTATCCCAGTGTGTATGATAAAGTTCTATCTCTGAACAAGGCTGTGTTCCTGAATGAAGTGGGTGTTAAGCCAATTGTAATTGCTAAGGTAAGAAAAGGTTTCATTCGAAGTTAGATCTCAGGTTAAACCCAGTCAAGGATCAGCATTGAAAGGTGGAGTGCCAGCTTCACAGCCCATCTTGTTCTGGCAGATGAGGTGTCTATGCTTACCTCTTGCATGGGACAAGAACTGTGGTGGAGAGGGAGGCGTAAGAAACTGTGGTCTCTGAAAACATATCCTCCCCTCTACCCTGGTGGCATGTGTGGATTGAGTATTACTACTCACCTGTGTTCTCGGACACTGAAAGGGCAGTAGAGGCATGTCTTAACTCTGACCGTTTCTCCTTTCTTCCCTTGCACCAGATTTTATCATGTGGGCAACCTGCTGCAACTGGTTCTGCCTGGATGGACAGCCTGAGGAGGTCCCACCACCCCAGGGAGCCAGAATGCAGGCCTATTCCAACCCTGGATACAGCTCCTTCCCTTCCCCAACAGGCTTGGAACCAAGCTGCAAGTCCTGTGGGGCTCACTTCGCAAACACAGCCAGGAAGGTGAGTGCTGACTTATTGGCTTGCTCTGCCACTGTAGCCTCTGGACCACAGGCAAGTGCTGCTGACCCCTCTATGAATGCTTGCCACCTTGCTTTTTTCCCTGTGTAATGCCAGTGACCCAGACCCGGACATGTCCCTTTCATAAAAATGTTTAAGAAGAACTAGCCAAGCAAAAGCAAAGCATCTCAGCATAGATTTGGAGTCATTAGATCCGAATTCAGTTGTCAGATTTGTTACTGACTAGTTGTATGATTTAACCTCTCTTGAGATTCAGTTTCCCTGTTACAAAGTTGGGATGATAGTAGTCTTCATCTTTCAGTGTTGTGAGAATAAAGGGAGACAAGAAATCCATGAAGGGTGCCTGGCATGATGCTTAGAATGTTATTTCCTTCATTAGCCACAATCACAAAAGGTCTGACTGCAGATTAACTTGTTCTTTTTATGAAAAACAATGTCAAGGATGCCTCAGGTACATTAAGACCATAACAAAGACTGGAGCTTATTTACTGTAGCAGATTTCATTTGAAATGCTTGGGAGCCATGCTTCCCAGATGAATGAGCTGGAAATAAAATTACTGGCTGGATAATGGTGTCTGTCTTTTTTGTGTGTTTTCCCCGTCTAATTTTTTTGTATATTTTGTAGAAATGGGGTTTTGCTATGTAGCCCAGGCTGGTCTCAAACTCCTGGGCTCAAGTGATCCTCCCACCTCAACATCCCAAAGTGCTGGGATTACAGGCGTGAGCCACCATGCTCGTCCTTGTACATTTAATTAGGCATTTATTTAGGTGCACCCATCCTCTTCCAGAGGCAGTGAATTATCTGTGGTCAAGCATGACTAGGGCAGAAGGTAAACTCTGACCTGGATAAAGAACTCCAGCATTCTGCATTTTTCTGCAGAATGAGAGGTTTGCAGCCCAGAATGGGTGATAGGATATGATGTTAAAATGGTGATTGTGGGAAATTTGAGAGGAAATCATACTTTTAAACCATCTGCTGTGTGCAAAAGACTGTTTAAGGAATTTAGATTTTTAAATTTCATTTAATCCTCACAATAGCTATGATAGAGGTTTTAGACTCTCCCAAATCCCATTCTACATATGAGAAACTAAAGCTTAGGGTTTAACATTAATAAGAACTCTGAATGTGTTAAGTTCCTGACAAATAGCATGAGAGATACTAAAATACTCATTCTTTTCCCTTGACTTCAGTAGTGCTTACGATCACATAGTTATTAAATGACAGAGCTGGGATTCAAACCCAGGACCTTGATTCCAAAGCCCCATCCCAGAAGACATACGGCATGTCGAGTAGAAGATGACAGTTATAGGGCTGAGTACAGAAGCCTGGCAATGATTAAAATAAGGTGCTTTTTTCGTATTTATTGGAAATGAATTACTGAATATCTATGGTGTATCAGGTATTGCCTGGGCTAGGGAGGCAGAGATGAAAAAGGTCATCCCTGCTTAACAGGGAGCTTACAGTCAGACAGGGAGGTGGGGACAATGTACACCATACAGTGTAACAAAAGTATGTGTAACAAGAAGAGCTTCCTGTGGGGGGAAGAAAAATTCCAGTTTGGATGGTAAAAAATGGTTATTGGTACAATATTTTCTTGCTATAAAAGTAGGAATTAATTTTGTGCAATTTACAGTGAATTTTGTGAATATTAAGGGTGTTTTCATCTATGAGAATTTTTCATTTGCAATTTCATGCTTAAGTGGATCAGCATTCTTATCTTAAGGGTTTGGCATTTAACAGCCAGAGGCTTTCAAAATGTCTTTTCTAGAAGTGCTTGAATTGAAATGATTACATGGATCCTTCTTTTTCTTTTCCATTTTCTTCATTGTGGTCAGTCTTTTCTGAATGCTCATCAGGTGCAAAGCACAGGACTTTATAGAGAAAGCATTCAGAACTTTACAGACAGAACATAAGTAAGATGTGGCCCTTATGAGAAATGGCAGGCTGTAATTTTGCCACAAGCCAAATATCCCATCTCTATTGGTAATACCTCCCTGTGGTTTAGCAACAACTCTGATAATTTTGGAGGGAGTCTGGCACCCAGCCTCTTTAGTTGGATCAGTTGGAGGAGGAGGTTGTGCTTGGAGCCATGGACGGTGATATTCAGATCTCAGAGTGGAATGAGAGGACTGGATCTTAGGTGCTGGTAAAAGGGGAAAGGAAATAAAAGGTGACTATGTTACCTTTTCTGGAGCATCCACCTTGTGCTAAGGTTTTATATACATTCTCTCATGTAATACTTCCCATGTTCCAGGAAATAAGGATGGGAAGAGTAGGAGTAAGGGAAGGGCAGTTGGCAAACGGGAGCCAGCAGAGCCCTGCACACAGCATTCCTGAAGGGTGGTGGTGCCCGCCTGAGGTGCCACAGCCAGTTCTGTGATGCTGGATATCTGAGTGCATGCTGGGCATTTCTGCAGGCATATTGGTTGCCTCCACTAATTCATCTTTCATGCTACCTGGTTACTCAGTTGTTTTGAACCATTCACTAGAATTAATTTATTTTATTTTTATTTATTTATTTTTTTGAGATGGAGTCTCACTCTGTCGCCCAGGCTGGAATGCAAATGTGTGATCTCAGCTCATTGCAACCTCCACCTCCCGGGTTTAAGCGATTCTCCTGCCTCAGCCTCCTGAGTAGCTGGGATTACAGATGCATGCCACCATACCAGGCTAATTTTTGTATTTTTAGTAGAGATGGGATTTCACCATGTTGGTCAGGCTGGTCTTGAACTCCTGACGTCAGGTGATGCACCTGCCTCAGCCTCCCACCAAAGTGCTGGGATTACAGGTGTGAGCCACTGTGCCTGGCTCATTTGCTAGAATTTATACATAAGTGTGTCCTTTGCTCATTCTGCCTGCATTTGTAGACAGTCCTTTTTTCCTTTCCTTTTGTTCTCTCCTGCCACTGCAAACTGGGATTTTAGCCTCAAGCCCTGTCCTGTTCCTATAGGGTATGTTTCAGATGGCCAGCTTATTTCAGAGTCCCCCATGAGCCAGCGAGTGTATAGAAGTTAGGTTGCTGTCTGTGCATTCTGATCTTGCACCCAACAAGCCACACACATTAGAAGAAAAAGAATAGAGAGTTGTTTGGATCTGGCTGATTGAGCAATGCAGGCTTTATAATTGTGTCGAGCTAGGTCTTGTTAAACTGTGTTGACTTAAGTAATGCTCCATGTCAGGCCCACAGGTTTATGGCATTGAAGCCTCTTTGTTTCAGTCTCAGTCATCCTAAGCACACTTCTATTCTCAATAGAAAAGTTTTAGATGTGAATGAACCCCAAATACCCAAAAGCATCCATTTTCTGCCTGTGTAGTGACTGGTCCTAGAACCGTTACAATGCTGGTGCAGCCATGCATCCTTTTAAGTCCATCTCTGAACAGTGTATTGTTTGGTTATAACTGTGTGGAGAATTAGGGAGCTTGATCTGTGTCCCTTTGCAATGCCTTCTAAGTCTTAAGAGTCAAAACTGGATGGTAAATATTATTTCCTTTTCCCTTTACTATATGAATGATACTCAAACAAAACTTACTATCTTAACTGTGCAGACATTTACTTCAACCCCACACAAGAGTGTCTGTGATCTCAACCTATGAGAATCTTGTCTCTTGAGCATTCTTTTTTTAGCTTGAACAGCTTTCTACATTTAGAAAAGGAGGAGCAGAAATATTTAAGTTACTACTTAAGTCACCACAGGATAAAAAGTTTTTAACTTCTTTAAAGGATTAGTGAGGATGCCCTGGAGGCCAATCCCTGTGTGCTCAGGAATTACCTCTCTTATTGGGGCTGTGACATGCTTTTGGCCAGAATAGAGCTCAGCCAGATGTCACTGTGCTCACTTAGCCCGTGGGGTGAGAGGCCGAGGATTGCTTCCTGTGGGCTGAGTAAGCCTTCCTGTGTTGTCAGCGACGGTCAGAGTAGCTGCTGCCAGGCAGTACCAGCTTGCCTGTCAGGCGCTCTTGTTGCCTGAGACACTGTGCTTTCAGGAACGAGAGTGCCCTGATGTGCAGAGGGCCTCCCGTCACTGTCTAAATATTTGTCTTGGATATAGTCATAAGTACCACTGAGTTCCCAGCACTCTGAGTGGGCCTTTCTGGAGTGGGGAGTCTGTGTCCACAGGGCAGTGGGTAGGGAGTTTGGAGAAGGGAAGCCAGGTCTTTGACTCAGAAATGCTCTGTGCTTGAATGGGACTGAGTTACGCAGCATGGCCTGGTGGAAAGAATGTGATCATGGGCATTAGCCTCTGACAGAACTTGAGTATGAATCCTAGCTCTCCAGTTTATTGCCTGACCTTGAATATAATAGTTGATCTTCCTAAGCCTCGGTTGCTTTGTCTGTGAGTCAGGGAAGAACACTCATACCTGCTTTGCAGTGTCACTTTGAGAATTAAATGACAAGCTAGCACATAAAAGCACCTCAATAAATTAATACTAATATTAATTGTAATCACCACCACCACCATAACCATCATGAAGACATAATTATGGTTTAAGATTTGAAGGCCAGGCACAGTGGCTCATCCCTGTAATCCCAGCACTTTGGGAAGCCGAGGCAGGTAGATTACAAGGTCAAGAGATTGAGACCATCCAGGCCAACATGGTGAAACCCCATCTCTACTAAAAAATACAAAAAATTAGCTGGGCATGGTGGCGCACGCCTGTAGTTCCAGCTACTTGGGAGGCTGAGGCAGGAGAACTGCATGAACCCGAGAGACGGAGGTTGCAGTGAGCTGAGATCACACCACTGCACTCCAGCCTGGAGCCTGGTGATAGAGTGAGACTCTGTCTCAAAAAATAAATAAATAAATAAATAAATAAAGACAAAAAATATATATAGTTTAGGATTTGAATCCTGGCTCTCATCATTAGCTAATATTGCTTAGCTGTAATAATTAAAACAAGGCTGGGCATGATGGCTCACGCCTGTAATCCCAGCACTTTGGGAGGCCGAGGTGGGTGGATCATCTGAGGCTGGGAGTTTGAGACCAGCCTGACCAATGTGGAGAAACCCCATCTCTACTAAAAATACAAAATTAGCCGGCCGTAGTGGCACATGCTTATAATCCCAGCTACTCTAGAGGCTGAAGCAGGAGAATCACTTGAACCCAGGAGGCGGTGGTTGCGGTGAGCCGAGATCGTGCCACTGCACTCCAGCCTGGGCAGTAAGAGTGAAACTCTGTCTCAAAAAAAAAGAAAAATTAACACAGCTAACATTTGTTGAGGATTCATTATGTGTCAGATATGCTAAATGCATTCTCTCTCAATCTTCACAACAACCCCATGAGATAGAATCTGTTGCCCCCATTTTATAGATGTGGAAACTGAGCACCAGAGAGGCTAAATTACATACCCAAGTGACACTGCAAGAAATGAGGGAGGGAGACTTAATAAAAATGCAGAGCTTTTTGATTCTAAAGCTGGTAGTCTTGATTAATACCTCTGGTTCTTCATAAATAAATAAGGTAAGCCTCAAATTAAATAATAAATGTGAAGTATCCTGTACATGGATATACACAATACACACTGGAGGTCTGCCACTCCTGAGTGGCTTTTAATCTAAAATCTGAAAGTGGCTTACACCCTTAAATATGATAGAGAGCTTAGTAAAAGTAAGAGTGATCCTGCTGGGCTTGGCACCTCTGAAGCTCCCATCCCACCCTCTGTCTTGTTCTGTCAATCTGACATGGTTTCCTGTATCTCTTGCTCTAAGCAGCAGACCTGCTTGGACTGTAAGAAACATTTCTGCATGACCTGTTCGAGCCAAGTGGGGAATGGGCCCCGCCTCTGCCTTCTCTGCCAACGGTTTCGAGCTACAGCCTTTCAGCGAGAGGAGCTCATGAAGATGAAGGTGAAGGACTTGAGGGACTATCTCAGCCTCCATGACATCTCTACCGAAATGTGCCGGGAGAAAGAAGAGCTGGTGCTCTTGGTGCTTGGCCAGCAGCCTATAATCTCCCAGGAGGGCAGGACTCATGCCCCAACCTTGTCCCCAAACTTTCCTGAGGAGCAGGCCTTCCTGACCCAGCCTCACTCCAGCACTGTTCCACCTACCTCACCCAACCTTCCCTCTTCATCTGCACAAGCCACCTCTGTTCCTTCAGTCCAGGTTCAGGAGAATCAACAGGTAAGGGCCCATTTGTAGTCTCCCCCAGTCTGTGCCAGTTTGAGGGCTCATTTTCATTTTCCCTTCCTGCCTGCATTATGGGGATGGGTTATAAGGCTCAGTGTCTTGATCACATGAAGCCTTTCTGACTATTGGTGTACCAGTAGTGTTTTCTGGATATCAGACTCATGTTTTGGCTTTCTTCAGAGGCAATATGCACAGTACCAATTTTTTTTTTTTTTGTTTTAATACACAACTATCCTAGTTAGACACTTTTTAAAGTTCATCATTCCAGAAATATTTTGAGAAAAATAACCATTAAGCCCTCAAATTTAGTTCTGTTCCAATTTGTCCTCCAACTTAACTCCTTCGTCGTGGTCTTCCTTGGCTGGATTGGGAACTTAGTTACTTAGTAACCATCACAAGGAATATAGGAAAGCACAGGGCTATGTGGAGGCAAGGGAGGATGGGGAAACAGACAAAGACGCTGTTTCTCTTACTGGTCACTGTCTGGGAGCAGCAGTAGTTGGCATGCTGTACTTGTAAGCGGCTTCTTCATGATCCTGGGGGCTTGGAAGCAGTAAGCTAAGAGCAGCACATTGAGTGAATCATGACCCAGGCCTGAGGAGTGCAGAAATGCATAATACACGGCCTGTGTCCTCAAAAAGCCCCCAGAGGAGGGAAGGTAGACACGTAGACCAACTAACTACTAGATTAGAGTGAGGCCAGTGGACATAACAGTTGCACAAGAAGTGATGTTGCACAAGTGCCTTAGTAACCCTATTATTTATAGCGGCGGTCCCCAACCTTTTTGGTAGCAGGGACTGGTTTCGTGGAAGACAATTTTTCCACAGACTGGGGTGGGCTGATTTCAAGATGAAACTGTTCCACCTTGGATCATCAGGCATTAGTTAGATTTTCATAAGGAGCATGCAACCTAGATCCCTTGCATGCCCACTTCACAACAGGGTTCACACTCCTACGAGAATCTAATGCCACCACTGATCTGACAGGAGGTGGAGCTCAGGTGGTAATGCTCGCTTGCCAGCCACTCATCTCCTGCTGTGCAGCTGGGTTTCTATCAGGCCATGGACCATTACCAGTCTATGGCCCAGGGGTTGGGGACCCTTGATCTAACGGGCTTGGACAATATGGGGGAATTAGGAACTACAGGATCCAATTTCCACATCCTCTTTTGTCATTGACTTCTTGGTCACCCTGGGCAAATGTTGAGCCTATGACAATGAAATAGTGTTAGTAATCACAGACTACTTTTGATCTTGCCAGGATGTCGAGACCTGAATGTGTGATACCATGTTTTAAAGAGCTCCAAGCTACTTAGAGCTGGTATAGTGCTAGTGCTGTCAGTTCCTACACACGATGTGGATGGCTGCTATCGCTCTGCCAGGACTGAGCCCCCTGATTCAGCTCTAGACAAGCACTGAGGCATAAAGGCCAATGTGATAGCATAATTTAACTGCAGTAAAATCATTTAGCTCCCTCTTTGGCCTGAGCATATTTTTCTCTGCAACTAGACTTTAACTCTTTCCTAAACTCTCACTCTTGGTGTGCTAAACAGATTTTAATTCCTGCTATACATTCTTCTCTTTGCTTGTTTTTTGGAGCACTCTATGTATAAGGAGCCAGAAGAATCTGAGGACTTCTTTTTCCATAAAGAACCTTGGCTGGGCCGGGCGTGGTGGCTCACGCCTGTAATCCAAGCACTTTGGAGGCCAAGGCAGGCGGATCACCTGAGGTCGGGAGTTCAAGACTAGCCTGACCAACATGGTGAAACACCATCTTTATAAGGAAAAAAAATTAAAAACAAAAAAAACAAACAAAACCCAAAAATCAACCTTGGCTGGGCATGGTGAGTCATGCTTGTAATCTCAGCACTTTGGGAAGCCGAGGCAGGCAGTTTGAGCCCAGGAATTTGAGACCAGCCTGGCAACATGGCAAAACCCTGTCTCTATAAAAAATATAAAAATTAGCTGAGTGTGGTTGTGGGCACCTGTAGCTACTCAAGTGGCTGAGGTGGGAGAGTCATTTAAACCTGGGAGGTCAAGGGTGCAGTGAGCAGTGAGCAATGATCATGCTACTGTACTCCAGCCTGGGCAACAGAGTGAGAGCCTGTCTCAGAAAACAAAAGCAAAAATCCAACCAAACCTTTAGGTAGATTTTTTTCAGTGAAAGATTATAAACTGGGCGGCTCACACCTGTAATCCCAGCATTTTGGGAGGCCAAGGAGGGTGAATCACGAAGTCAAGAGATCAAGACCATCCTGGCCAACATGGTGAAACCCTGTCTCTACTAAAAATACAACAATTAGCTTGGTGTGATGGCGCAGGCCTGTAGTCCCAGCTACTCCAGGAGGCTAAGGCAAGAGAATCACTTGAACCTGGGAGGCGGAGGTTGCAGTGGGCTGAGATCACGCCACTGCAGCCCAGTGACAGAGCGAGACTCCATGTCAAAAATAAATAAATAAAAAGGCTGGGTGCAGTGGCTCACACCTGTAATCCCAGCACTTTGGGAGGCCGAGGCGGGCAGATCACCTGAGGTTGGGAGTTCGGGACCAGCCTGACCAACATGGAGAAACCCCATCTCTACTAAAAAAAATACAGAATTAGCCGAGTGTGGTGGTGCATGCCTGTAATCCCAGCTACTCAGGAGGCTGAGGCAGGAGAATCACTTGAACCTGGGAGACGGAGGTTGCAGTGAGCCAGGATCACACTATTGCACTCCAGCCTGGGCAACAAGAGCTAAACTCCATCTCAAAAAAAAGGATTATAAACTTCCTGTCATTAACCAGAAATTTCCAGATTGCACCTAAAGTTCACCCTATATACAAGATCAAATTGGGTACTTTCCCTCTGGGATTTTCAAGATACCTTAATGTCTGTTCACATGCCCTGTTCTAATGAGACCTGCACTTTGCAAGCAGGAAAAACAGGTATGGGAGAATTAAGTAACTTATACAGTGGTATCTGACAAGTTCACAAGTGATCTGCACCTAGAACGTAAATTTCCTTATAATACTTGCTCAACCAGGGTTCTTTCTTTTACCTTTACTGCCTTGGCAATCAGTAGTTGCCAGGCAAGAAAGTATATACAATAAGCACAACTGTGGACAGGTACTAGTTTTGGGGTTTGATTTAGCCCGTGGGCAAACTGGAGAGACAAGAGCATACACTGCAATATGATGTGGTTTCTCTTTCTAGGAAACAGGACATCTGAAAGATGTCTACTTAGGAATAGGTTAGGCTCTGAAGGATTCCAGGGTAATTCCAAGGTGATACTATCTGAGAGACCAGTGAGGATCTAGAGTAAGCTAAGAGAAAATTGTTGATGAAGACATTGATTTGGATGCATCTCCATACATATGTATTATGTATTTGATCTTGCCTTCACTTGGCAAGATTTTGTTATTTTGTTATTTCTACTTTTCATTTCCATTGCAGTTGTTTGCCTCTTCTTGTTTAGCTCCATATTATGCATCTAATGTGGGATGAGTGGCTGGGGCCAGTGGGTGACTTTGGTTTCCCAAATTGTCCCTTCACTGGCATCCCCAGAATCTGGTAGAAAAGGCCTCTGAGTTCAGACACCTCTTTGCTCTGAGCTCACACCAGGCCCTTTGCCTGCAGGGAGCAGTGGGTGAAGAGGATCTACTTAAGGGGTTTGTGGCTTAAATGGTGATTGAATTAGGAGGCTCACAGTTCTGACTGCTCTTCGGCCAAACCTCCTAAAGGAATACTCAGCAGAAACCTTTTGAGAAGTGAGGATTCTAAGCAGAATGAATCTCCATAAGCATAGGCATTACATTGTCTTTTTTTTTTTTTTTGAGATGGAGTTTCACGCTTGTTGCCCAGCCTGGAGGGCAATGGCACGATCTTGGCTCATGGCAACCTCTGCCTCCCAGATTCAAGCAATTCTTCTGCCTCAGCCTCCTTAGTAGCTGGGATTACAGGCATGTGCCACCACATCTGGCTAATTTTTGTATTTTTAGTAGAGACGGGGTTTCACCATGTTGGTCAGGCTGGTCTCAAACTCCTGACCTCATGATCTGGCCTCCTTTGCCTCCCAAAGTGCTGGGATTACAGGTGTGAGCCACTGTGCCCGGTGGCATTGTTTTATATAGTCTTAGGCTAATAGATTCGTAGATACATTAAAATACTTTTTGACTATGTCTGGACACAGCTCTTAGTAATGGTGTGCTTGACATGGGGAGCACATTTTCAGAATGTGAGAGTAGTTAGTAGGCAGAAAAGAGAGAGACTAGGGTGGTGATGGTCTGGAAACTTTCTCTCATCAGTGTCAGATAAGGAAGCCAGGGAGATTTAGTGTGAAGGAGGGGAAAACATGGTTTAAACAGTTTTGGGGGGAAAAAAAAAACCAGTAGACTATGGTCTGAGGGGCAGAACCAGGGATAGGGATAGCAATCTTGGATCAGTGTCAAGAAAAACCTTGATGTCAGATAGAGAGCAGTCCAGCAGTGGAATGGACACAGTGACCTTCTCTTCACCTGCAGTGCTCAGGCTGAGATTAAATTGGTGGTGAGTGGTGGCTACTGCCATCCTGGTGTGTGCAGAATTAATGCAGTTTTGTTCTAGAGGGCAGTTTTGTCTGTTGAAATCTATTTGTGTTGTTTCTCTGCTTGACAAAGTTGCTATGAGACAGCAGGCTTTTGTAATGATGCTGTGAGAGGCTCCAGAATTCTGGGCAAGATGGGAATACATTATGGACATTGTGTGAGTTGAAAAGAGGCCCATACTATGCAGATCTCTGGGACATCTCTGGATGTGATGTTACTTTTCTCTTCCCACAGGCCAATGGCCGTGTGTCTCAGGATCAAGAGGAACCCGTCTACATGGAGAGCATGACCAGAGCACCTGCTGAGGATGAGACCCAGGTGGGGCCTCTGCTTGGGTCTGTGCCTTCACCTTTGCTCTTTCACTGGTGTTCTTAGGAACCTCTTAGCAGACTCGGGTGGAGAGAGATTAAGTGTGTGATGATAGTACTTCTGAAATTGTTTTGGGGGTGGAGTTTAGTGTTAGTGTTTCAGAATAGCTTGTGAAGCTGTCAGTTGTGAGGTCATACTGGAGACTGAGAAGCCTCATGGCCCATTGTATTTCCAGTCTCTTCACTCTCTAGGAGCTGCCAGAGGGCAGACTTAGAGTGCTGCTGTAAAAATCTTGTTCTTTTCTCCTGCTTCTAGCACACTTTAGCCATTGTCAAGGGAAGGAGGTCAGAAGGCCAGTCCAGAGCACAGACACTGAGGCCAGGGAGCTGTGGCCAAGGTATTGTGTATAGAGGAATGCTTACCAAGAAAATGTGCCTCTTGCGGGCAAACAGAAGTCTCTAGGTGAGAAGGGCCAGTGCTGTGCTGGGTTTCATGTACAGGAGCCTACTGCTCTCTCTCCTTTATGGGGGGCAAACAGGCTCAGAGTGGTAAGCAACTTGCTGGTAATTATTTAGCATTAACCAGCAGATGAGTGGGGGATTCAACATTAGGGTCATATGACTCAAACCAGTGCTCCTACTGTACTACTATCTACTGCTGCATCACACTGATTGGTTGGTCTGTGTCTGCTCCTGAGCACAGAATCAGGGATCAGGAAGAGATTGTAGTATATTTTGCAATAGCACCATGCCATGTACTCATCCTGTCTCTGTTCCTACCCTTCATGAGGTCAATCACCAAAATTATGGTGTGGTGAGTGCTTTGGGGTCCTTGGAGAAAGAGCTTGGGGCGGTCAGAGCTAAGCACATTGATCTTATCTTTGCCATTGCAGTCTATTGACTCAGAGGACAGCTTCATCCCAGGCCGAAGGGCCTCTTTGTCTGACCTGACTGACCTGGAGGACATTGAAGGCCTGACAGTACGGCAGCTGAAAGAGATCTTGGCTCGCAACTTTGTCAACTACAAGGGCTGCTGTGAGAAGTGGGAGCTGATGGAGAGAGTGACCCGGCTATACAAGGATCAGAAAGGACTCCAGCACCTGGGTGAGTCATTGTCTATGTGGTAGCTATACAGAGCTCAGGAATGTTTACTGTCACTCCAAAGCATGATGGCATTGACCTGACTCAGTTTCCACACTTTTAGCCATTGAAGGAGGCACCTTACTTATTCGTACCATCTAATGATAGCTGTCATTTGTGGTTGATGTCAAAACTGGATTTGGCATTGCATATATCTATTTATTCCTTAGAGCAACCTATGACATAGGCATTATTAACATCACCCTTTTATTATGGAGCCCAGATTTTAACTGAGAATTTTCTGGTCTAAGTCCATAGCCTTTCTTACCACATGGTATCCCCTCCATACTCTAACTACCACCTTTGAAGTTTTCTTACCTTAGAATAAGAATGCTTGTTCTAAAGATTTGGGAGGTAGAAAGTGAATCTACATACATAATAGGAGAAGAGATCTGTTCCATCTGCACTTGGGCTTTTCCTTTTTTTCATCTCCCAAAGCATTTTCTACTGTTACCATTTTCAGGAGATGCCCAGGAAAATATCTGGGTCTGTGGTTAAATGAGTTTAGGGAAAAATACCTCATACTGTATCTTTGTTACTGATTTATGGTAGATTTTTATATTAAAGGAAGAGAAGTCCTGCAGAAGAGAAATGTGTTTTGGCTGTTTTGAACTTGGTGTTTCCTGAAATTATTTCACCACAGAATCCTTTCCTTCCCTCCCCAACTGATTTACTTCCCACAGAGCAACATACTGATTCCTTGCATGGTAAGGGTGGTTGAAGTCAGACTTCAGGCTCTCCTCTACTAGTAGCTCAAATCCATCAGTGTTAGGGGACATCTGACTATTTACCTGATTACAGACGGAGGCCTACTGATATGGAGTCTGTTTTCCCTTTGGGATTATTTCAGGAGTCTTCTCCCGAGTTGTCAGGACCTGGGGAACAGAACAGATAACTCCACATGGGAACTTTATCCAGACTCCCCGACTGATTGAAACAGCTAGATTGTTCATTCTTTCTTGACTTTAATGCTGGCTTCAAAAGCAATAGAAAAGGATATTGCACATATACAATATCCTACTTGGCAGTTTGGTTGTGCTAACCAGTGGAATACCTTTTTCTAAAAGTAGATCAGCCCAGGCATGGTGGCTCACGCCTGTAATCCCATTACTCTGGGAGGCTGAGGTGGGCAGATGACTTGACATCAGGAGTTCAAGACCAGCCCTTGCCAACATGGTGAAACCCTGTCTCCACCAAAAAGAAAAAAAAAAATAACCGGGAGTGGTGGCATGTGCCTGTAGTCTCCAGCTACTTGGGAGTCTGAGGCAGGAGAATTGCTTGAATCGGGGAGGCAGAGGTTGCATTGAGCCAAGATCGTGCCATTGCACTCCAGTCTGGGCAACAGAGTGGGGCTCCTTCTTAAAATAAAAGAAAAAAGAGTAGACCAGATGCACCAGTAGGAGCTTTGTGTGAGTTCTAAGCATGTAGTAAGTGAAGAGGGCAGATGTCCATCTAGGTTCTTGGCAAGACTGGTCTCAGCAGGGAGTGGTAAGAGTTCAGAAATGATGTCAGGGCAGTAAGAGACTTTGCTCGTACCATCATGCCATCACTTATTCAGACATCCTTCTCTTTCCTTTCAGTCGGTGGTGCTGAAGACCAAAACGGTATGTAGTTGTTTCTGTTTGCGAATGGGGTTAGGCTCTTTTGTCCTTCCCCTCCTTCAACCTCGATCCCTTTAGCAGTCTAAGAATTCTGAGCATTTGAGCCTCCAGAGAGAGGATGTGTGGGAAATTCACTGAGAACAGGGGGCTTCTCACTGTCTTTAGAAATTCTCTCTGCTCCCTGTGCAGGAAGAAGAGTGGAGCATACCTAGGACTGATGTGCATGTCCCTGGGCTGTCAGAGCTCAGAAGCCAACATTTGTAACACACTGAAACAGAGAAGGGTTGGCATGTATCACACTCAGTTCATTTTTTAAAATCCTGGTGTGTTAATTCTGGTCTAGGTAGGGAGGGTCTCTGTGTGCACCTTCTGGGGAATCAGGGTGTTTACCAGCTTCTGGTACTAACCAAAAAGAAAGGGTGGTGACCTGAGACAGCCCTGTTTGTGCAGGGCTGGTAATGGTTAGAGCTACCCTGGAGCTAACATATGCTTTACTCTCTGGGCCAAGCTATGTAGCTCACCTTGGCTGCCATTCACCAAAGACCACCACTGGGCCTTGAGGTACTTCCAGAGCACATTACAGAACTCCTGACCCTCTGTGAGAACATTCTAAAATATCCTGTGCATTTTCTAAAGCCTCAAGGGTATACAGCTGTGAACTCCCTCCCAAGAAAGAATGTTCTTAGAGTAGTAGTATTGGACTTGGAAGAAGACTTCCCAAATTTGTTATTTAGTAAAATGGCCTTTTGCTCAGAATGGGCAGAGTTTTATGTCTGATTACTTCTCACCAGACATAAAAAACAGTTGAGCTTTTCTCAATTCCCCAAAACCAGATCTACCCCATCCTCCCCTGGTACCCAGATTAGGCTGATTATGCTTTCCTTTCTTTTTCTGATTCCCTGCAAGAATGCTGACAACTGAGTTAATGTGTTTATTGTTATTCCTGGGGGAATAATTGAAAAAATCTATAAATTATTCCCACTCATCTTAGGTATTTGTATAATCTGCAAACCTTCCCTGTTAGGGCCAACAGCACCTCAAAAAAGGCAAATAGGTTTCACTCCCTTTCACATCCAGCCTACCTCCTAGGGGGAAGTATTTCTTGACCTATTGAATAGTCCAGAAAAGAGAAAGTATAGACACAATTAGGGATAATTGCTTTATGGGGTGGCTAAGCTCCAGATGACAGAGGTGACTGGTATGAGATCAGTTCCTTTTTATGGGTACCTACTTCAGGGTGCAATTTAAGAAATGTTGGAGATGGCTGGGCTTTTGAACATGATTTTTTTCTGTGGGTTAGCTCAACTAGGATATTGGTCATGCCCACTATATGCTGCTACTGACACAAGCCAGTTAACATTTATTGAGAACTCTATGCACTCAGCAGTTGATACCGTCTGGATAGTTTCTACTCTTAGGGCACTTAGGTGGAAGGCCATTCTGAGGAAGAGCTGTGGGGCCAGCCTGCCTGGGTTTGAATCCTCGCTCCTCAATTTAGCAGCTATGTGCCCTTGAGCAAGCCACTTAACTCTTTTACCCCAGTTGGCCTCATCTATAAAATGAGAGTAACCAGAGGTCCTACTGGTTCTACTTGATAGTTTTGGTGAGGCTTCAGTGAGTTAATACATGCAAAGCTCTCAGGACCCTGCCTGGCACATGGTAAGCATTCAGTAAATGTGGGATGTTTTCATTCCCTTGGGAAGATGTTCATTCATCAGACATTTAATGAGTACCTACCATGTGACTGCCACTGGGGGCTTCAAAGATGAATATCTAACCTCAGAGCATGAAATGAATGCCAAGCATATAATTGTAAAAATTGAATATGTTGAATTAAAGAGCTCATAATCTACTAGGGGAGTAAGTAGGCAAACTCAAAATTTTAATCCAATGTTATAAGCAGTCATGGGGGTATACAGAAATTCTGTGGGGGTGGAAAGAAATAAGGAGCAATAATCTCTGCAAGCTTCTCCATCAGGAAGTTTCCTCAGGAAGCCTGGGAGTAGTTTGTGAGATAGCAGAGGGCTCCCCCATGATCCTTGACTTTATTAAATGGAGGATATGTTTATAGATAAGGCTTGTGATCCTTAGTGAAACATTCACCACAGTTCCATTTCTAAGCTTTTCTGAACGAGTTTTATTTTTTTAGCATGTTCTGCCTCAGGGGATAATGAGTCTCTAAGTACCACTCACCCAATCACTCTATTACAGCCTCAGTGATCTGAAAATAATTGAAGTTTTGAGAACTTTGGCTTAGTTCTCATGTTCTGGGATGGTGCTGATCCAGAAGTACTATACTTTTCAAATCTATACCTGTTGGAGGGGAGCAGGTGTGGATTAAACAAGTAACCAAAGTTGGTTATTGAGGACTGTTTCCTTGGAGGAGCTCTATTTGAGGGAAGCATGTGCACTAGGAGTTTGTTCACAATGTACCTGTTATCTCCCACCTCCCTCCCCCAGTCACCCCTATACACTTAAGACATTCTCCTCACTCCTCTGCCCCTTTTCTTCTGCCCTGTTTGTACAGGGGGAACAGTACCACCAGGCTTGGAGGAGAACCTGTGTAAGATCTGCATGGACTCACCCATTGACTGTGTTCTGCTGGAGTGTGGCCATATGGTAACCTGTACCAAGTGTGGCAAGCGCATGAATGAATGCCCCATCTGCCGGCAGTATGTAATCCGAGCTGTGCATGTCTTCCGGTCCTGAAGGCTTGCATTGGTTTCTTCAGTGCCTTACAGGGAAATAGCCTGGGGTGTCTGGGCTCAGGGTTGGCCAGCTTGCAGAAGGGCAAGCTAGTAGAAGAAATATTGCAGTGTTCCCAAGACCAGGGCAAGCAAGATGCCATGTCACCCCTGAGAGTGCCTGTCTTACCACAGGGGTGTACCTCTTGGCTGGTAAAGCCCGAGGCCAGTGGGAATTTGTACAAATCACATGGGTATGTTCTTGATTTAGTGATGTTGGAGTGATTATGGTAACTGATGAACAGAGAACTTAACAGAACCTGGATCCTGTCTTCCTCCCTGAACCTGGACAGTTTCACCCCTCCCCCTGTACCCAACCCGTCCCCTGGAGATGCTTGCCTATGTGTTTCATCAATCAGAAGTCCTCCTTAACACATTTGGATTTAAATTTCTAGTCTCTCCAGCTTTCTGTGCTTTAACTATCTTTGCTAAAGTCTCTTGCTACATTGCCTAAAATCCATTTGTTTCTCTGGAACAAAAATGTTAGTTTACCAGACCAATAGTGGTCCTTAGGACAGAATTTAGACCAGTAAATTTATCTCTGGTGAGAAATGAAGCACAAATGCTATAGAAAACTTTCCAAATTGTTAAGAGCTGCTTCCTTAAATGCTGGGATTGGAAGCTGTTGGTCTACTGACCTGACCCTGGGAGCCAACAAAACATCAGGCTCCCAAACTGCTGGGAAATTCCAGTTTCTGTCTGCAAGGGATGGTGTGTGGATAATCTCTGTTGCTGCTTCTCTTGGGACCTGATTTGCACCATCCTTAGTTTATGGAGAAAGGGGAAGTAGTGGGTGGAAGCAGTGGCCTTCTGCCTAACTTCGGCTTGGTTTTTGAGCCTTTTCCCAACTAGCAGAAGTCTTAAACCACTTTCCCTGAAAATGAAATCTATCCCTTACCCATGGTAGTTTTAAATTTGGTCTCATTGAAGAAACAGACTTAGGCAAAGGGCTTGTGCTCTTCTCTGGCTAGACTTCTCTTGAAGTTCCTGGAGAGCAAACATGTAAGACAGAGTACCTCAGAGCTTCCAGTAGGTACTGAATGAGACTGGATTCTGTTGTGAGTCCAAGTCTTTTATTTCCCAGGTTGGTGGGCAGTGAGGAGACCCTACTTTCCTTTCCTAGCCTACTGACCTATTGGGGCAGGTCGGCGGGGAAAGCATTTTTTTTTCTTTCTTTTTTTGAGACAGTGTCTCATTGTCACCCAGACTGGAGTGCAGTGGCATGGTCTTGGCTCACTGCAACCTCCACCTCCTGGGTTCAAGTGATTTTCCTGCCTCAGCCTCCTGAGTAGCTGGGATTACAGGTGCCCGCCACCAGTGATGGCTGGCTAATTTTTGTATTTTTAGTAGAGATGGGGTTTCACTATGTTGACCAGGGTGGTCTCAAACTCCTGACCATGTGATCTGCCCAACTCAGCCTCCCAAAGTGCTGGCTGGGATTATAGGCATGAGCCACCATGCCCAGCAGAAGAAAGCATTTTAGGCTCTTTAGGAAGGACCATACAATGAGTAGGTGGTGTTTTTGAGCCCTCACAGTCTTTACATCCCTAGAGGAGCTGGAGGGCTTAAGAGTGTGCTGAAGAAGTGTGACCTAGCTCAAAACACATCATCAGGAGAGCAGAGTGTTTTCTCATTACCAATGGATGAACTATGCAAACCCTGAACACATTGGCAGACAGCCCCCACCCCTTACCCCTCCCATGCAGCTGAAAAAATCTAAGACTAGAACCAATCATGATTCTAGATAGCAGAGGGAAACCTCTAAAGGGACTTATTACATTAGTAAAGATATATTTATGCTTTCCTTCCATCATCAACTGCTAAACCCCTTTGGAGGAGTGAAGTAACTGCATAAAGTAGTCGTTAACTGAACACTTGGTCACTTGTCAACATCATACAAAGTCCTGGATGATTTGATTCTGAACCACAGCCTTTGTAGGAGTTGGGGGAATCAGATTTGCTCATGAGGACATCCCTTTTCACTTTTCTCATGGGCAGTAAATACTATAGTTTACAATGTCTACCAATTTAGCAAAGGGTAATTCATTCGGCTACTCCATTTCTCTGTGAAACAGGTCTATGTATTTGCTATTCGGTTAAAATCTAGTAGCAACTTAAAGGCAGAAGCTGGCTCTCTATTTACAACCTGCTTTCTCTGCTGAAGCCTTACCTCCTCCTCAGTTTCCCTCCTAGAAACAAACTGAAAATAATATACTGATAGCTGGTTAAGAACCTCAGTAAGAATTAAAACTAAGGTCATTTACTCATTTTGGAGAAAGAACTTGCCTTTAAATCTTTTATCCCATTTTGGTGAAGGTTTCCATTTAGGAAAAAAGGTGTCAAACCACTCTGATTTTTTTTTTGTATCATTTTTATTACACCAAATAAAAGTTGGGAGTTCCAAGATCCCATTCCAGTTAATATTTAACCAAGGTCTAAAATTTGATTTTTAAAAATCTTCAAATCCTCCCTCCTGCCCTTCATGGATCCTTTGTTTTAATTATCATGGAAACATCTAATTCTTACAATTATTCTGTGGCTTTTGCTGTGTTTGCTCTGAGATTTCAGTTAAGGCTTGTTTCAAAAGACAGCTAACTGGTGCACAATACCGTGGAATAGTTGGATCCAAACTAATCAGAATAAGCTGTACAGGAACTAGTGCTCAATATACATTGTATAAATTTGTGGAAATCTCTTGGATGTGAATTGTTACTTCAAGTGGCTTATATTAAGATTTTCTCAGACTTACTTGGAGGTTAAAGCAAACCCAAATGTGTATTATTTTGTTACAGAGCTCTGCTTTATAATTTTGTAATAAAGTTTCAACACAGATCCCTGTCCTGTTTGGTGTGAGGATATCAGAGGTTGATGGACTGGTGAAAGAGCCTGACAGTGGCACATGCTATAATCTCAACACTTTAGTAGGAGGCCAAGGTGGAAAGATTGCTTGAGCTCAGGAGTTTGAGACCAGCCTGGGCAATGTAGTGAGACCCCGTCTCTACTTTATAAAAAAAAAAAAAAAAAAAAAAAAAGCAAACCCAAAACCCAAAAAACAAAAAATCAGCCGTGCATGGTGGTACATGTGGGTAGTCCCAACTACTTAGGAGGCTGAAGTGGGAGGATCACTTGAGCCAGGAGAGCAAAGCTACAGTGAGCTATGATCGTCACTGCACTCCAGCCAGGGTGACAGGGACCCTGCATCAAAAAAAAAGAAAAAAGACAAAATAACTGATAAACCCCAGGTGAATCCCAGGCCATATGTACATGTTGGTCCAGGTTGGAGAGGGCACATGTGCACATGGCCTGGGATTATTAGCCTGTGGTTGGGCCAAGTGACCTTGGTCAAGATGCTCAGTGTTGTAACTTTCCCAAGACCACAAATGTAATTAATATGTGGAAGAGGCCATGGAACAGCCTAGAAGAGAATGAGAGCTGGGTAGGAAAAGGAAGAATCCCAAGACCAACTGGATATTGATGTAAAAGAGATGGGACCTAAAGATCTGAAATGGAAAGGAATCTGAAGACAGCTAGTATGCCCAGTTAGGTCTTCAGGTTACCCTGGGAGATAAAGCCTTTGGATACAGCTGTAGTACAGTTGGAGCATAGCTCAGAAAAGTGTGGCCCAGACTGGGTGCCGTGGCTCACACCTGTAATCCCTACACATTGGGAGGCCGAGACAGGTGGATGACTTGAGGCCAGGAGTTTGAGACTGGTCTGGCCAACGTGGCGAAACACTGTCTCTACTAAAAATACAAAAACGTAGCTGGTCTGTGCCTGTTAGTCTCAGCTACTTGAAAGCCTGAGGCATGAGAATCGCTTGTGAACCCGGGAAATGGAGGTTGCAGTGAGGCCGAGATTGCACCACTGCACTCCAGCCTGGACAACAGAGCACTCTATTTAAAAAAAAAAAAAAAAAAAGTTGGCCCAGCCTGTGGCAGACTGCTGTGTCCACAGGCTTATATAAACCTCCCTAACGAGGAGCCCAAGGAGCAAGAAAAAGACTCCTGAGAATGCAGTGCCCATCTGCTCTGTGACTGAGAAGAGAAAGGAATCTTGCCAAAAGGGTATAGGATCGAGGATGAGCCACAACACTTTGCCAACATTGCCCTAGGCAGCTGACCTGTTCAGTGCCCAGTGATGACCTCTGCTTGATGCCAGCCAGCAGCATGTAAAGGTTCAGAAGAGGGAGGCCTCCAGCATTCTGCTGGAGAGATTTGATGACGACATTGAGGGTTGCATTGAAAAACATGAGAGAAATACAAGAAAGGATACAAAATATTATATACAGTCAGATCTCAGCATCAAAGCCTGGAAGAAAATACATAAAAAACCACTGACACTGAAATGGTGATAGATAACACAGAGTAAGGCTGAGAAGGGACAAGATGATCATCTGCAGCCAGCAGAGCCCTTTCCTGAGGGCTGCACCCTGGGTGTAAGCAAAGAGTAAGGGCAAGCATTGCTGGGTCCAGGTTGGAGAGGGCAGTGACTTTGTCAGGATCCTAAGGAGACAGCTTTGTTCTGCTGCCCTGTCCAGTTCCTTGGCCTGAGGAGGCTGAAGAGGGAAATGTAGGTCAGTGCTCAGAGGAGGAGCAGCTTTTTGTCTCCATAGAGGACGGAATAAAAAGAGTATCTTATTCCTAATACTGAAGCCAGGCTGAATGGTGCCTATTGAAAAATACCAAATGTCCTGGGCTAGAGTCAGGAAAGTACCCCCCTCCCCACTGCTGCCCCTACTCTCCTAACACACATTTTAAACAGTAAGCGAAAGCCAAAGTCAACCAGATCAAAGTTGGCCTCCAAGCTAACTGGCAAACATCCCCTACCAGAGTATTATCTTAGTTGAGTTGACTGGTGGTGGGGGTGGGGGGACACAGTGGTCCTTGATCTTATAGGCCCAGAGCCTGCTAATTTGTTCATAAGGAGAGAACTGACTCTCAAGAGCTGGCAGGACTGGGACATGGAAGCCAGTTTACAAACATACGGTGTCCTGATGAGCCTGCACTCAGAGTGGAGTGTTAGCTGGAACATGCACACCTGAAATTGAGAGTTTTAAAGTTGTAAGTTAGGGCCCCCTCTCCCAGGTAGGGTCTGAACATTCACACCAGTCTGGGTAACTATGTGCTAGGCTCTGAGCTAAGTGTTTTACATAATGTATCTGAGGACATGAGGACAACCCTATGATTTAGGTGCAGTGGCTATCCCCCTTCTTCTTGGAGGGACTGAGGCTTAGATGTTACGTAACTTGCCTAAGTTAAGTTAGAGCCATTAAGTTTCAGGACTCAATTTAAACTCCGTCTACACCTGCACTGTCTAATGTGGTAGTCACTAGCAACATGTGATCATTTGAATTTGAATTAAAATGAGAACTTCAATTTGTTAGTTGTTCAATCTTGGGTTTCAAAGTAAAAAATTATTTTAAAAGATTTCTTAGTTGTGCTAGCTTCATTTTCAGTTGCTCAGCAGTTGTCTGTGGCTAGTTTGGTTGGACAGTGCAGATTTATGGATATTTCCATTGCTGCAAAAAGTTCTATTGAACAGCACTTGTCAACACTTAATCGTCTTCCTTTTGTATGGATCTGTTATTAGGTGTGGATTATTTTTTTTTGAGATGGAGTTTCGCAGATTTTTATTCTTTTTTTTTTCATTTGTAGATATGGAGTATATTTTATTTAAGAAATGAAAGACTAAGAAGAAAATGCCACTCAACCTTGTTGGTATATTAATAGGTCAGCAGGAAAAAAATTCTTTGATAAACTTGTCTAATACCAAGAAGAAATTCTAGTCTAAGCTTCAATATACTTCCTGTTTTTTTTTTTCCACGATGTGTATCTTTTACAGCTGCTCTTCATTCTTTCCCACATTTCATATTAGAGGATTGGTACAGGCTTTAAAACTTAATTGACAGGAGCAAATCCAGTATACACTGATTTCTTGTCAAAAGGCACTCTAACCCGGCAGTTTCATTCTCATGAATACTCTAGCCATGAAAAAACTCAATAGGACACAGACGCATCCAATGAATAGCAGAAGAAATCTACTGAGTTTTGGGATATTTGGTGCATTGATCGGTCCAGGATTACAAAAGCTAAACTTCCCATTGCAAACAGGAAGCTGGATGCAAGTCCTTCCATAATATACTGTCCATTTACTCTGCAGGCCAAGAAAGTTACTGGCCTCTGATGCCCATGTTTATCAGCCAACACTTGGAGGTTCAACAATAACATAGTAATTATTCTTCCAGTCACGAGGAAGACACCACCACCAGAGCAGACACAATCATGGCTGACAGCATGTGCATCCAGGGTGGCTTCTTCAACTTCAGGTTGGGACATTCGAGCACTAAGAACTGGACACAGTACAAAGTCTCCATGTTGGTAGCAGCAAGGGCTATTCTTGGCCTCAAGCCCCATGTGGATTTTTATTCTAAAAAAGCAGTCTTATTTCCAGGTTTTGGGGAGGCAAATCATCTTGAAGCCCTCTATCCCTCCAGAGGAGTGGCCCAAATAACCTCCCGTTTCTTCATAAATGCCCCATTTTCCTACCTGATCCTAGTCCCCTCCCTTCAAACTGGGGATCCTCACCCTGTAATAGGAGAACACAGAGAAGAAAGTCATAAAAGTTCATTTTGTTTTCTTTCACATGAGGGTTTGTCCCTGGCAAAGGGCGCCAGGCTGAATACAAGTTTTGCTAAACAGAAGCATTTCTGAGGGCAGTTTTTAAAATACAACTTTAAATAAGCCTGGAAGTACAAAGGGGGAGGCAAGCAGGGGAAAGAAGGCTTTGTGGACAGAGCTGCCCAGCCTTTACTCCTTAATCTCTAGGGAAACTATTGGGGGTGTAGGTAGGGAAAGGACAAAGATAACTGCAAGATATTTTATTTATAAAAAAGGTAATTAAGCTGCTTTTCAAAGAAAACAAAAAGATGGTAAAACCAGCACCCAGACCTGAAAGATCTATTTAAACCAGCAAGAGAAACTGACTTCAGTTGTGGCAGCCACAGCAACTAATTCCTGGTCCAGAAGAGACTGGAGAACTGGTGGGTTGGGAGGAGCAAGCCCACTCCCCCTATCCTGTGTTTACCTGCCTCCAGCCTGCGCCCAGTCCAGTAGCATGGGAAAGGAGAGTACGGCCTGAAGGGAGAGGGAAGACAGCAAACCTAGCAGGGAGCTACCAGTCTCCGTTTCCGGATACATGCCCAAATCCACTCTGGGGAGACCTGCTGGGCTGAAGGGTTCTTGTCCCTGCTACACAGCACATGTGTGGCTGAGGCCATATCAAATTCCTGTACCAGGTCCCCGTCGAATGCCACAAAGTAGCGTCTGAGACGGCTGAAGTCTGGTGTGGAGGGCGGCAAGTACAGCCGCACCCCAGTGAAGATGTCAGGTAGCACCTGAAAAATGCAGAGGGGTCAGGGTGGGGTCAGAGCTAAACTGGGTACAGATAGGTCTTCACCCAGATGAGCACAGGACAGAATAAAGAGGGAGCCTAGAGTTAGGACACAAGCAGTGGAGCTTACTGGAGTAACATGCATCAATACTCCCACCCCTCCAGTCACTCCAAATTATACAGGACTGACACGCCCCTCCATCCCTGCCTAGGGGAAGAGGGGATGGGCCTCGACATCTGCAACCTGGAGATGGGAAGAGTACATGTATATAACAGCCATCCAGCCATGGTGGGCAGGCAGACCTGGCTCTGACTCGGCACCCCCAGACTCTGATATCCGCTGAGACCAAGCAGTCTACTCTATATAACCTGCTAGACTGAGGGGTCAGGAGTCCTGCTTACTACTCTCGATGGGTTCAAGGACTTCAGGCAGGGGAGAGAGATGGGAAATGTTTCTACAGGTCTGTTGGGGATTGAGTTCAGGCTCTGAGTTGTCAGACTTCTATGCTCTTGGATGGCAGTGGGGAGAGTGGGGGGTGCAATGACATGGTGTAGATCATATGTTTACTTCTCTTTTTTGTTTTTCGTTGTTTTTTTTTTAAGATGGGGTTTCACCATGATGGCCAGGCTGATTTTGTACTCCTGACCTCAGGTGATCCACCTACCTCAGCCTCCCAAAGTGCTAGGATTACAGGCGTGAGCCACCGCACAGGCCATATGTTAACTTCTCTATCTGTCCTTTGAGCCATCACCTCCCTCAGTGTTGAGCCAGTACTAAATCTAGTTCTTGGCATCAGAAAGTGCTCAAAAGAGGCTGGGCGTGGTGGCTCAGGCCTGTAATCTCAGCACTTTGGGAGGCCAAGGCAGGTGGATCACTTGAGGTCAGGAGTTTGAGACCACCTTGAGCAACATGGTGAAACCCTGTCTCCACTAAAAATACAAAAATTAGCCGGGCATGGTGGCATGTGCCTGTAATCCCAGCTACTTGGGAGGCTGGGGCAGGAGAATCGCTTGAACCCGGGAGGCAGAGGTTGCAGTGAGCCAAGATTGCACCATTGCCCTCTAGCCTGGGTGACACAGTGAGACTGTCAAAAAAAAAAAAAAAAAAAGAGTGCTCAAGATATGTTGCCAAACCCAAGACTGACAAGTGAGTGTAAGAGGGAAAAGGCTCCTCAGGTGGGAGGAGAGTCACCAAGCCAGTGCCCTCTCCCTATCTCCTTGCTCGCTGGACCTGCTTCCACTCGAACCACAAACTCACACTGCCGCATTCCCACACTCAGACTGCGCTTTCCCCTTTAATGTAAATTTTGACTTGGGGCCAGTAGCTGAGTGAGTCCCTGCAGTCTCTCCTGGCTAGGCCGAGCTGTTCTATCTCCTGCCTGCTGGCACAGTTCTCCTTCCTCTCTGTTCGCTGGCTGGCCGCCTCTGCAAGGCAACAAGAGGACACAGGGTGAGCAGCAGCACTGCTGACCACGCCCCAACAGACGGGCAGCTGCAGGTAGCCAAGAGGTTTAACCAGTGTTCACCAAACAATTTGCTCATCCTTTTTCAACTTGTGCAGAGGGTTGGGAACACAACGTGGGCCAAACTGGCCCACCTATGTGTTGCTGTTTTTACTCTCACCTTTGTTTGGCACAGGGTCTCATCAGCGGCTTTCCGCTTCTCCCCCACTTTCACTGGAGAAGACTTCATGGCCAGCTTCTCTCCCACCGTCACAGGGGAAGGCTTTGCAGTCAGCATGTTGCCTGCAAGACAGACAGAAAGCTAGGCGTGGTGGTGCACACTTATGGTCCCAGCTACTCAACTGAACCCAGGAGTTAGAGGCTGTAGTGAGCTATGGTTGTGCCACTGCACTCCAGCCTGGGTGATAGCGTGAGACCCTAAAAAACGTTAAGCTACAAAAGAACTAAGAGGGTAGGGATTGCTGATAATGCTCCCTGAAGTGAGGGGCAGTAATGGGAAGGGCCAGGGCCTTTCTCTGCTATGAGCATTGGTGAGAGAGGAGGTTAAGAGTTATCAGCTAAGCCCTTTAGCTCGAAGGTGGCTTATCCCCAGTCCGACTGGCTCTCTCCAGGGTATTTCTCCATTCAGGTTTGCTCAGCAGATACAGGGTGCCCAGCAGAATGGTCTCTGGCCCATGGCTGGACACACACCAGGAATGCAGTCCATGTCCGCTACAGTGGATATAGATAATCATGAATCTCATGGCTGGAATGTGAGAGACTGGGTCCCTGCCCTTGGATCTCTGCCCCTCACACCGCCCTCTTCATCATCCCAGCCCCCTCCCTATCCTTACCGCCTTTGCTGTTGGAGTTACTCAGCTTCCCTTCTGCTTTCTTGGTACTGGCATAAGGCTTGCTGGGGGAGGCGCTGGGAGCCTTGTGGGACACAGAAGACCCCGAGGGACCCTTATTCTCTTCACTGCTACCCCCTGTAGTGGAGCTCCCTTCATCTCCAGCCATTACAGTGAAGTCTGCTTTCTCCTTGGACAGCTGGTACAGTTCCTGAGGCAGGGAGGGACAACGTCAGAGGGTTTCATTGTCTTCCCAGACTATGGCCTCAGAGGTGGTGTGTGTGATGTATTTTAGGCGCATGTGGGAATAGAGATACGAGAAAGATAAAGAGCAAAGAAAGGGAGTTGGCTTCCTTGGTACTATTCCAAAGTGTGGCCCTACAGCCTGAGTAATCAGGGCACCCCTCAACAGGAGTAATAGGAGCTCCTCCCTCAGCAGGAGCACTCTCACTCCCCAGACCAAGGGCTGCTCCGTGGGGCCTGATGAATGCAAGGTTCCTTACTCAGAGATAGCGGGAGAAGGAGGTCTAGTGCTGTGCCCCTGGCCCAGCAGCAGTTTGATCTCCCTCTCTAATTGTCCTCCTTGGTCTGCCTCAGGGGAATGGGAGAAAGGAGAAGACAGAGGACATATGAATGGTCCAGATGGCCAAAGCTCCAAGGCCTAGACAGTGGGGTGGGGAATACACATATAGCCTAAGAGCTGCTACCTTGAGTTGAGGAAGGTTAGTGGCAGATTTCCAGTCCTTATCATCTCGGATTCGGGTGCAGCGAGGGAATCGGATGGAGATCCCGTCAGCTGTGTGAGCCTCCGATTTGGAGAATTCAGCCCCTGTGATCTCCCACACGGCAGCTTTCTGTGAGGAGTAAGCCAGCAGGTCATCACTGGTTAAGAAGATAGTATCGGTGGTTGGGTGCGGTGGCTCATGCCTGTAATCCCAGCACTTTGGGAAGCTGAGGTGGGCAGATTATTGAGGTTAGGAGTTCAAGACCAGCCTGGCCAACATGGCGCAACCCCATCTCTATGAAAAATATGAAAATTAGCCAGGTGTATTGGCGCATACCTGTAGACCCCACTACTCAGAAGGCTGAGGTATGAGAATCTCTTGAATCTAGAAGGCAGAGGTTGCAGTGAGCCAAGATCATGCCACTGCTCTCCAGAGTGAGACTCTGTCTCAAAAAAAAAAAAAAAGTGAAGCAAGTATTGGCTGGGCGCGGTGGCTCTTGCCTGTAATCCTGCATTTTGGGAGGCCAAGGCAGGTGGATCACCTGAGGTCAGGGGTTTGAGACCAGCCTGGCCAACATGGTAAAACCTCATCTCCACTAAAAATATAAAAATTAGCCAGGAGTGGAGGCACACCCCTGTAATCACAGCTACTTGGGAGATGGAGGTGGGAGAACTGCTTGAACCTGGGGGTGTGGTGGCTGCAGTGAGCTAAGATCTCGCCACTGCACTCCAGGCTGGACGACAGAGTAAGACCCTGTCAAAGAAAAAAAAAAAAAAGTATCCGCCAACCAGCTAGAAGCAATGCAGAACAGTTAAAACCAAAAACCAGTTAATAGCTGGGAAATTTGGGTCCTGGTTCTGCTGCTGCAGCTGGATAACCTTAGAGAAGTTCTGTTCTCTGGATCTCTTTCTTGGTCAGTACAAGAAGGGATTGGGCCAGGATGCTTCCAGAACACACCCTTTGTGCTGAGGGAACAGGTACTCTCTTCCCTCTTTTCTTAAAGCAATTGTATCACAGGGAAAATTCCTCAGAGTTGGCTGGTTGTCACTGTGCCTATCACTTGGCTGGAAATCCAGATCCCCATCCCTGGGTGGACTTTCATTGAGGTGAGATGGCTTCTCTGTGGCACTAGAGAACCTGTAAGCTAATCCTATGGGCTGCAGGACCCCAAACCACTGGGTTGATACCTTTGGGTCTGGAACGATGAAGTCAGGATAGTAGATCTTGTTGACCTTCAGCCAGCTGGGTATTTTGCTGGGGTCCTAGAGGAGAAAAGATGCTGTTCTGGGCTGTTCCCAAACTGCAACAAGGCTTAAATCCCTTCTCTTGGTAATGAGATTATAAGAAGCCACTTAAACAGCTGACCCTTGAGCCATGTGATCCTCCCAGCCCAGAGTGGTATGACCTAGAGGCAGGCAAGCCATTTTCCACAAGGAAGGTACTCAGAGATTTTAAGGCCTAATCCTGCTCCCCTGGGCAAGCTGCAACCCTCCTTTGTGGGAAGACAAATACCTGTAGTCCCCAAAGCACAGCCTCTGTCTCAGTGCTGATGGCCAGTCCAGAGGCCAGGGCCAACTACGTCCCTTCCTCACCTTGCTGATCTTCACCATGTCTAGTTCCTTCTGAAGGCGGGCAAGTGTGGCATCGTCATGGCCTCCTGCACACTTGGTGACTGTGCACCACTTCTGGCTTCCAGGGTCGTAGCAGCCCATGAGGAAGATTGACATCATGCCGCCTGGGAGGGGAGTGTGAGATGAGTGTGGGTTGGAGGAGCCATCTCTGCCAGCCCCATGAGCCAAGCCCAAGAGAGGCAGCCCAGGGCCACAGACAGGACCTAGGTCTCAGCCATCAGAGCGCCAGTTTAACTCTTGGAGCTACCTCTTACTAGCTGTGTAATTTTAACCTTTATAAACCCCAATTTCCTCTTCGTAAATTAGGGATAATCACACCGAACACACTGGGCTCTGGGGCATTGAACCGTGTTGGACACACGACAGACTGCTTAAAAGTATTAGTTCCTCCAACTCCAGCTTCTTCTCATCGGGAAAGATATTGTCCCTAGGTGAAAGCTGTCAGGTCCTGAAGAAATAATTGGTGGTAAGCTTCCTTCTGCCAGGCTAACATAGTACTCTATTCTGACTTTTCCCTACCCAAGTCAACAGCTCTCGTATTATGTCGCTACCTGAGGTGACTCAGGCCAGCTTGGGGCCCTAGATCCCAAGACTTCAGAAGTCATGACTGGCCATGCTGCCAAATCAAGCCAGTAAGATCAAGGCCAGCCTGTACCTCAAGCGGTGTCTTTTAAAACAGTACCACCCCAGGGGCCAGAGGCCATCCTGACCTTTGCTCCCTTGCCCATAGAAGGCCCCAAGGACCACCAGGTCAGCTGTGTCGGCCATGGCCCCCTCATTCAAATAGTCTTTCTTCACTTTCAGCCAGTGCCGCTTCCCAGGCTCATATGTACCCTGAGGGGAAGCAAAAGAGAGACCACAGAGTAGACAGGCAACTCTATGAGGATGGGCTCACCCCTTCACTGCCACACACCAGATCTAGCCCAGTGCCCCTCCCTCTGGAGAAGAGCCCCCAGGTTCCAGGCACTGCAGGAGACACACAAACCTGTCCTCCAGATGCAGGACAGATTGCCCAGACCCTGGAAAGGCTCCCCCAGCAGCCACCCCAACCATTGCAGACTGCCACCGCCATCTCCTGGTCAGGGCTGGAAAGGCTCAGGGGAGAGGGCTGCGAGTGAGTGGACAGGAGAGAAAGGGGGGGCCACCTTACCTTCACATCCTTCAGCACCAGCCCCTCCAATCCCTCCCGGATCACCCGGGTTATCATGTCAGCCAAGTCCGAAGCTTTCTGAGGGACAAGAGAGATGCTGAAGTTGGTGTGAGGTGGCAAGTGAGTGAGTGGGGACTGTTCCTTTTCACACACTAGTGAAGTGCCCACTGAAAACACCTTTACTTGAATGTAAGGGACAAAGGGTTAGAAAGCAAGGAGTTTCTCATCCCAACCAGAGGGCTGCTATGGCTTTGAAACACTGGGGGCTTACCTAGGAAGGATTTCCATGCCCTACCCTTTTGGGTGAAGACTAGCAGACAACATATACAAGAGTCAAAGGCAAATGTCATCAAGAGTCTCCATAAGACATTAAGATTTATTCCTCCAGTTGCACTTGACCCAAGGAGATCTCTGCTCTGCTTTCAAACTTCTAGGACATTGCCTAGGGTAGGGTCTTCACTTACTGTGACTCGTTTCATTTCTGAGAACATGATCCGGTTTGGAATTTCAACCATGTTCTCATGAAGAAACTTCCGCCGCTCACACAGAGGCCTGAGAACAGGAGAGCTGAGGTTAGACCAGGATCCTCCCACCCTTATTAGGAATTTTAAGGAAGGAAGGGGCACAATGATAAAACTGCCGCTTCAAGAAAGGGTTTGCCATGGATCAAAGACCTCATGTGTAACAGTTCTGCTGTCAAGGGCTACAAGGGCTCCATTGTGACTGAAGATGGACAGTTCTGAGCTGTGGCACAGAGCCAGTTCAGAGTTGTAGTTCCTATTTCTACTTCATGGAGCAAGCCAAGGGAAAGCTGGCGTCTAGCCCAGATAGTATAAATTCTGGCCCATTTGAAAAATGACTCCAACTCTCATTTTTTATCCCCTGCATCCTGCTTTACCCCAACCCCAAGGAGAGCTGGTCCTGGGTAGGCAGGCTGAGACAGGCCTCAAGACCCAAACCCCAAGTCCTACCCTCACCAATGCTTTCCCTCTCTCCTTCCTTCTCCCTCCCCAATCAAGGATGTGGCTACTGCAGGAGGAACAGGGGTCGACATACATTTCTAAGTGAGGAAAGGGCTGATACTGGTTTCTCAGGCCCAAGCATATGGATGCAGCTAAGTCAAGACTACTAATTCTCTCCAAGATGGTCCCACCCATAGCCTCCCCTATAATCAGCAGCTTACTGTTGTCAGTCTCTTCTGAAATCAAAACCTCTGAGCTGAAAACCATCTGCCTTATGCCCCTAGGGGTGCCAATGGAGAAATAAACTGAAACCCCACTGTGCTCAAAGTCTATTTCTCGGTAAAAATCCATTTTACTTTAGTAGAGAAACTTCTTTGGGGTTTGAGTTTCTTCTGTGATTCATTCAGAGATGAGATGGAGTCAACACATAGGCTTTTTTTTTTTTAACCCTTAGCCCCACCCCTCACATAGGCTCTTTCTTAAACCAAATGGGGAGCTGATCATGTAGCAATTGTGCTTCCTCTCAGCTCCCTCTTGCCATTGCCTCTGGCAAGCTCTTGAGCACAAACATATGTGCCAGCTGCTTCCCTGTACCCTCTTCTCCAACCTGAAGCCCCCTTCTTCCCCACTCAGGGAAACAGATTCCTGGCAGTTTTTGGGTTTAAAGATGTAAGCCAACTTACCTGTCCATCAAGCTGACATCATTAAAGTAGATACAATCAAAAACAAACAGGCAGACATTGGCATCCTGGAAGGCCGCTTTCTGTAAGGGAAAATGAGGTAGTAGGTATACAAAGGACAAAAGTCAGAGGGCATGAAAAAATAAGGAGTACTAATCCACTTCTGGAGGCTCCTTGAAGCACCGGGTGAAAAAGTTCTATTTCTGGCACTGAAGCCCCCTGGGCCATAAGGGCACTAAGCAGATAGTGCTAAATGGAAACCAACCCAATTATAAGTTGGTTCCAATACCAGCCCCTTTTTAGGAGAAAAACAAGACAAAAAAACCAAACCAGAATGAAGTCAGAAGGGAAGAATAAGCCCCACACTAAGTGATATTTCCTTTTTCAGACTTCAGCGTGCACACACATGTACATACTCACACTCATTCATTCTTTCACATATGGCCTGAAGCAATACCTTGTGCACTCCGAGGGTCCCAAAGGGCAGTGGTTTCCCTGTCTTGTTGTCAATCAGAAGCACCTCAGAGTCCAAGATCATGCTTTGGCCCCCAGGAAAAGCCTGAGGGATGTAGTCCTTAAAGTGGACCACCTGAAAGCAGAAGGGGAGCTTTGGTGAGGGATGACATGGCAGCAGGGACCCAAAACCATGCCATGGAGAGCAAAGCCCAGGCCCCAGACGGAATACAAAACAACATGTGGAAGGCCCAGCTAATGTGCAAAACATGCTAGGCCTTGCGAGCCACCTAGACAACAGGAAGAGGCCATCTGTTTCAATACTTCTGTCCAGGCCCAGGAAGAGGTCAGCCTATGCTGAGTCACTTTCTATGGGCTGTAGAGAAGGCACAATTTTGGAGGAAAATGGATGAAACAGAGAGTAAACCTGTTGGGGAGGAGGAGGAAGAAGGATGGGTGGGCAGAGATTCATGCCTATTGCAGAAGATATGTGACTATCAGGCTGAGAATTGGATTAGGGAAGAACAGACTGCTTGAAAACAGAAAGGTAGAAATGAACCCCCTCAGGTAAAGCAAGGAAACTTGAGCAGTGTCTTCTCTGAGTGTGAGCCCTGAACCAATAGCCATCACTACCCAGGATGCTTAGAGCAGGAACAGGAAAGGCCAGCACATTCATGCCATTCTCCTTCAATCCCTAATCCAGCCCTTTAAGAACCCAGACCACAGGAGAGGCAAGGGATGAGTGAACATATGGGAAAGTTAAGGAAAGGACTAAATCTGGAAAAGTGTGCTCAGATTTCTTCTTGGGTCACAGATGGTGTCTATTTAACACCAACCTCACCAGAAGCAGCTCCTCAGTGATTTTCTAGTGTTTCACACAACAAGTGAAACTGCACTAAAGCTCCACAATGAGGCCACTGCTTAGCTCTCCTCTTGAACACATGAAGCAAATGGCCTGACTGCTTTGTCCCTAGTGCTCCAGCAGGAACGCAAGGCTGAGGTAAGCACAGGGGCCACATAGCATGTCCTCCTGAACCCCCTAGGGCTCTGAAAAACTGAGTCTGAGTTAGGAAAGAAAAGGATAGCAGGGACAGGAATTCCATCTGCTTTTACAAGCTACTGGAGCCAGATGTTCCAGCTGCTTTCCCCTGAAGACACCCTCAAAGGTTCACAGTATCCTTGGGAGTTGAGAGGGCTATGGAATAAGGTTCCAAATGCCACCCCTGAGTAGAGCAGGAACCTAGGCTCCTAGATGTCCCCATGAGACTGTTTACACCAGAATGCAAGCTTCATGATGGCCAGAACTTTTGTCCATTTTTTCCACGGCTATATCCCCACTAGCTGTAGCAGTCGGTAAGCATCTGATAAGTAACTGTTGAACAAATTAATGAATGACAGCCCAATAGTCTGTTGTATATAATAAATCTTAGTCTAGCTCACGGGGATCACCTGGGACCTGGGAACACAAAAGACACACAGCAACTCACCAACTGAGCTCACTGTCCCCGTATCACTGTGGGCAAAAGAAGTTATCACTGGCCGGATGCAGTGGCTCATGCCTATAATCCCAGCACTTTGGGAGGCTGAGGCAGGTGGATCACCTGAGGTCAGGAGTTGAAGACCAGCCTGGCCAACATGGTGAAACCGTCTCTACTACAAATAAAAAAATTAGCTGAACATGGTGGTACATGCCTATAGTCCCAGCTACTTAGGAGGCTGAGGCAGAAGAATCACCTGAACGTGGGAGGCAGAGGTTCCACTGAACCAAGATTGTGCCACTGCACTCCAGCCTTGGGTGACAGAATGAGACCTTGCCTCAAAAAAAAAAAAAAAAAAAAAAAAGTAAAGAAGTATCACTGTCCCAGGGAGCTCTATCCTCACTAACCCAAGTCAGAACTCTTTCACTTTCCCTGCTGAGCAGCCCTTCATTATTGGAAAATTCCAAAAATGAATAAATGAATGAATGAATGAATTCATTCAACGAATAAAAAAGAAATCCTTATTGTGTAGCATAGCTGGAATGGCTGTGGGACTCTGGTCCAGAGATTCTTAGAGGCAGAAAGGGGAAAGATGGTCCTGGCGGAAAGGAAGGGACTCATACCTTGTGAGGCAGCACGGGCTTGAGACTGCGGCTGAAGTAGCTGAAGTGGTCCCCATTCTTATGCACTTGGACTCGCTCTCCATCGTACTTGATCTCAGAGAACATGCCATTGGGACACTTCTTCATTGCATACTCAATGGACTTGCAGGCCTCCGCCTTGGGGTGGGGAAAGCAAAGCCTGGAGACTTTCAGTGAGGGGCTGCTCAGCAGCGATAGCCAAAGACCTTGCAATTGGGTTAGTCAGGGCAGGACCTGGGTCCCAACTTATGCTCAGGGAAGGCTGTTGAAGAGGTGATGGGAATGGAAAGGGCTGGGCAATGTTGCATTCTGCCTATAAAATAAATAATCACCAGAGCTGACACAGGAGCTTGCATTTTGAGGAATATGAATGCTATTCATTGTACAACAAGTACAAGTCCAATGAAACAAGATTTAATTTTTTTCTCAGTAAGTCAGGCTCTTGCAGGGCCTCTGGCAATATTAAATATATCAGTTATCCCAGTAAAAGAGGTATGTGAAGCTAAGGTTAAGGAGTGCAGGTGACAGTGAGGCTGGCAGGATGAGTGATCAGGGATCCCTATGACAGGATTTCCAGATACTGGAGTGCTCACTTACATACCTGTGCTAGCCTAACTCAAACAATAGCTACCATTTTGGGAGTACTTCATCTACATAATCTCATTTCATCTCCGATGTGACATCTTATGTGACAAATACTGTTTCCAGTTTTTGATAAAACTGAAGCTTAGAGATAATAAGTGCTTGCTTAAGTTACATAGTTAGTAAAAGGCAAGAATGAGATTTGGATCCAGGCCCACCTCTAAAACCTGTGTGGTTAACCACTAAGCTATATAACCCATGCCAGTCTTTAAATGATAAGCTGTAGAACAGACTCCCGGAGGTGTTTGTATAAAAGTCAGAAAGGCCACTACTGCAGGTGGCCGCAGTCCCATCCGCGGGATGGAGATCTCACTGTTTTGGTGCTGGCTAGCATTCCTAGCAGGGAGAGAACACTTCCCTATCTCAAACATAAAACTCTAAATCAAGGCTTCAGTATGACACATAAGATGGTTTTGAAAAAAATCACCATGTATCACTGGAAAATCCAAAGGATCTCACAGTAGGCATGGCAGCATATGTGGTGGGTTCTGTCATATGGGAAAATGACGCTGGAAAGGAAATCCCATTTCTTGTGAAATGAGCAGAGGCCCAAGATGATGTCTGTCAGAGTTAGCCTTCATTCCTATGTGTCCTCTCTCTTCCCGAATCACCCTGTCATAGGAAGCCTGTCTCTGCTACCAACTCTCAGATCTACTTTGCAGTAGGTCACAGAATCTCAGGGGTTACTTAATAAATCCATCTGTCTTCAGTTAAGATAACAGATAAACCATTCTAGGGAGATGCCTCAGTCTCAGACATCATCCACAAAGGAGACTGAAGGACAAGAGAGGCTAAGTCACTCATCTAAGATTCTTCAGCTTCTTGGTGGCATAGTTGGGCCTGCAGCTCAGGTCTTTCCACTAGGTCCTCTGTCTTTTCCTTTGCCTTCACTTCCTATGGAGAAATGCCCCCCTGCACCTCCATCTTCCCTCCCCAAGCTCCTCTAGTCAACTTGCAAGAGCTCTCAATACTCATACCCTATCAGATCTCAGCCAGAAAGATGTGAAACTTGGAGGCATGGAGAGCAGGGGCAGGGCAGCACTCCTCACCAGCATGGGCTGCACAGGTGTCATCAGTGAGGCCTGGACGCTCAGAGCTCGTCTCTGGCCTGGCTTCTTCTCCACCTCCTGCTCATTGCGAAGGACCCGCTCCACCACGTCCTGCAGGTTGCGCGAGGCTTTGAAGGCTTCATAGGCATTGGGGTCAAGGGCGTCTAACCTGCCACAGGGTACAGGAGCACGGAAACAAAACCACTGCCTTTGTTTGACTCCATGGTTTTGGACAGCAATCTGTCCTCACAGGAGAAATCCTAATCTATAGGGAAGTGGCTGTGTTCTACTGTCTAAAGACTTTCATAGGAGAGAAGACTCTTGGAAAATTCAGCTCTTTTGAGATTCAGCTCTATGTGGATGCTGCCTTAGCAAGCAGGAGGCTGGAATAGGCAAGAGACTCATACTATACTCACTGAACGTATTCCACACTTCAACTGTAACAACTCTGTGAGAAAGGTACTGTTATCTACATTTTATACAGGAAAAAATGATTACAGAGACAGGTCAAGTGAGGGATCAGGGTCTCACAGAAAGTAAGAAGGTGGAATGGGGATTCAAATCCTTGGGACTCAAAAGTCCTGACACCAGTTGGGAACAAACGAAGCAAATGACAGCTCAGGCTGTCAGAGGAGCTGCTACTTACACATGTTTTGCACCTGAGTTCATCTTCAGATCATGTTTGATCAACCTGATGATGCATTTAAGGTCATTGGCTGTACACCTAGGGGGATGAGGCACATTTAACTTGGTCTTGAAGAGCTCTGGAATCCTAAGGGAACCTTCCCTTTCCAAGAGATTCCATCTCTCTATGCCCATCCCCATTGGGCATAGTTTGACAGAGGCAGCTCCCCCACCTGGAGGCAATGTCCTGCAGGGCCTGTTGCTGCTCATCCTCCTTGGTGAGCTTGGACAGCCGCAGAAGGAACTCATCCACTTCCTGGATGGTAAGGAGGCTCTTGGCAGCTGGGGGAAAAGACTTGCTCTGCTCAAAGAAGACTCTGATTGTCTCTGACACGTCACCCTGTCTCCAAAAACCAAAATGCCACTGCTGCAACCCTGGGGTGGCCAAGTGTATCCCCTAAAACCCAGGACTGAAGATTAATCAAGAAATTTCAATCAGCTCTTATCCCAACTCAACATATCTAGCCTACTTCTTTTTATTTATTTATTTATTTTAAGATGGGGTTTCACCATGTTGGTCAGGCCGGTCTTGAACTCCCGACCTCAGGTGATCCGCCTGCCTTGGCCTCCAAAGTGTTTGGATTACAGGCGTGAGCCACCATGCCCGGCCATATCTAGCCTACTTCTTAGCAACACTAGCCCATCCACATTTCCTAGAAGGGGTATGTCTGTCTACCATACAAGGTGCCAACCTGCCCTAGCTGAGAAAAGACACAAGAACTAATCTAGTGCTGAGCTAATTTGATTCCTGCTTAAGCATTTGAACTAGAGACATATATGGTCATCAGATAATGGGGGTGCTTGGATGGAAACTTTTCATGATACCAAGGCTAGAGTCATGTACCAAGGCTAGAGTCATGAACAAACCTAAAGCTTGGTAAGCCCAAGTTATGGGAGAAAACAAGCAAGAAAAAAGAGAGTCCAGAATAAGAGCCCCAGGAGAGACAGGGGGGCAAGTCCCAAATTCTGACTTTTGAGAACCAGGCGTTTCTGGTTCAGCAGTGGTATGGTTTCCATCCTCAGCAACTTACGAAATTAACAGCTATAGCCTCACATTCAACTCCCGCAATAACGGAAGCTTGCTCAAATGAGTTTCAGTTTCCTAAAACAGTATGTATCCCAACCAGAAAAAAAAGAGGCTGCAGGTGCCTAGCTTGGCAAAACCCTACCTGGAATGCAGCCTACCCTCCCTCCCCTTCCTCTGACCTGCTCTAGGTCCCGTGCCATCTCATCTGGGTTGCAGTTAAAAATGCGACTGAAAAGCTTCACAATCTGCTTATCATTCAAGTTATAAACACTCTTAATGACTCCTGGCAGCAGCAGCTTCACTGTTAGGTACACATCACCGTGGAAACCATCTGGAGACAGAAGAAAGGAACGCTTCTTGAGAAACAGAGCTTGAACAAAGAAATACATAAACTCAAAGAAGGCTGGGCAAGGTGGCTCACACCTGTAATCTCAGCACTTTGGAAGGCTGAGGCAGGAGAAATGCTTGAGCTCATGAGTTTGAGATCAGCCTGGGCAACACAGAAAGACCCTATCTCTACAAAAAATTAAAAAATTAGCTGAACATGGCATATGCCTGTGGTCCCAGCTATTTGGGAGGAGAACAGGAGGATCGCTTTAGCCCAGGAGGTCAAGGCTGTAGTGAGCTGTGATCACACCACTGCACTCCAGCCTGGGTGATAGAGCATGACCCCGTCTCACACACAAAAAATTAAATAAATTAATAAATAGGCCGGGCGCAGTGGCTCACACCTGTAATCCCAGCACTTTGGGAGGCCAACGTGGGTGGATCATGAGATCAAGAGATTAAGACCATCCTGGCCAACATGGTGAAACCCCATCTCTATTAAAAATACAAAAGTTAGCTGGGTGTGTTGGCACGTGCCTGTAGTCCCAGCTACTCGGGAGGATGAAGCAGGAGAATCACTTGAACTCAGGAGGAGGAGGCTGCAGTGAGCCAAGATCGTGCCACTGCACTCCAGCCTGGTGACAGACTGAGACTCTGTCTCAAAAATAATAAAAATAATAAAATAAAATAAATAAATAAACTCAGGCTTGTTGTGGTGGCTCATGCTTGTAATCCCAACACTTTGGGAGGTTGAGGTAGGCAGATCACTTGAATCCAGGAGTTAAGAGACCAATCTGGGCAAAATGGTGAAATCCATTCTCTACAAAAAATACAAAAATTAGCCAGGCATGATGGCACATGACTATAGTCCCAGCTACCTGGGAGGCTGAGGTAGGAGGACTGCTTTACCACAGGAGGCCGAGGTTGCAGTGAGGTGAGATTGCACCAGTGCACTCCAGCCTGGGCAACACAGTCACATTTTTTATCTCAATAAATAAATACTCAAAGAAGCAGAGACTAAAACATATCTATATATCACTGCCCATACTCCTATAGTACCCTGTGCGTATCGCTACAGTAGGAGACAGCACAGAGTTCAGAGGCTGGTGAATTGTGTGTCTGCCTCACCTTTAGCCTAAAGATGAACTCTCATTGGACAGGGTGGTTACTTTCACTTCACATGCCCAGTGACAAAGACATTACATATGCTCAGTGACAATTTGTTAGATAAATGAAAGAAACAGAGTTGGAAGATTCTATTCTAAGCTGTGTATAAGGTTCACAAAAAACAAATTAAATATGCAGGACAGTAAATTTTCTCACTAGTCAAATAGAATGGGTTCTTCTGGCTTCCTAGGGGCAGACTAAGGGAGAGGAAGAAAGATGCCAAAGTGTGGCCAGGCGTGGTGGCTCACACCTATAGTCCCAGCACTTTGGGAGGCCGAGGCGGGTGGATCACTAGGTCACGAGATCAAGACCATCCTGGTCAACATGGTGAAACCCTGTCTCTACTAAAAATACAAAAATTAACTGGGCATGGTGGCTCACGCCTGTGGTCCCAGCTACTTGGGAGGCTGAGGCAGGAGAATTGCTTGAACCCAGGAGGTGGAGGTTGTGGTGAGCCGAGATCGTGCCACTGCACTCCAGCGTGGGTAACAAGAGCGAAACTCCGTCTCAAAAAAAAAGATGCCAAAGTGCTCTGAGCAAAACTGAATACATAATTTGTGGAGTACAGTGCAAAATGCAAACACGAGTCCCCTTGTTCAAAATCATTAAGAACTGTAAGGCAGCACTACAGTAAAGCATTAAACCAAGCATGGGACCCTGAGCAACTGTACAGCTCACATGCCTAGGAAGGCAGCCATGGCCTTGGAGGAATAGCTCTTGGAGGAAAAGCCTATTCAGGATGCTCATGCCACACCTCCTGCTGAGCCTTTCCGCAGGAAGTCCTGGATGATCTGGGTCTTCGTGTTGTAGCTAGAATTATCAGCCACCATGGCGCACAACTTTCGAAACTCCCGTAGCAGACAGTCCTTATGTCTGGGGTCACATTTGCTTGAAGACAGACTTATCTTACGTGTGGGGCTTGAGGGGGATTCCCCAGAGGTGTTGGGCTTGGCTGCTGGAGAAACAACAGAAATGAATTCATTCGGCCTTTCTGGGAAGAAAGATACTCTGCCAGTACTTTAGCTTCATTTACTTTCCCCGAATAGACCTTTGGAGTAGATGTCATCAGACCCATCTTACAGATAAATAAATGGAGGTCAAATAATTTTCCCAAATCTTACAGCTATTAATTAATGGTAAAGAAACAACGTCCTCCTCAGACCCAAGCAAAGGACCAGACTGATGTCCATCTCTTTATGTGAGCACTAAACAAAAGAATAAAGACTGAAGTCATGCAAGAATGATCAGGACCGGCTGGGCCCAGTGGCTCACACCTGTAACCCTAACACTATGGGAGGCAAACACGGGAGGACTGCTTGAGTCCAGGAGTTGGAGACTAGCCTGGGCAACATAGTAAGATCCTGTCTCTACAGATAAATAAATAAACAAATAAATAAATAAATAAATAAATAAAAAGTAAGTGGTCAGAAGGATCTCAGAGCAATTGTAAAAGACTAGCCTGGGCAACATAGTAAGATCCTGTCTCTACAAATAAATAAATAAATAAATAAATAAAAAGTAAGTGGTCAGAAGGATCTCAGAGCAATTGTAAAAGCTGACCTTAGAAAACCTGGCATGAGAAAGGGCTAAGAAATCAAGGTAAATGTTAGTCAATGTGAAATTACTGCTATCACAGGTTGTCAGAGCTAGAAGAAGCCTTAAAGATCTAGTTCGATGTTCTCTTACTGATGAGGGGACTGAGGTCTGAGAAGAGCAAATGACTTCCTGGCCCACTTGCTTGTTGAAAGAGCCAGGACAAAGACACTACTAAGAAAGTCACATCCCACAAGTACACTCAACATCTCACCCCTCGCTGCTTCAACCTTTCTTTTCTTATTGCCAAAATAAAACCCGCTCTCCAGTTATTAAAAAAAAATAATTTTTTAAAAAACGTGGTCAAGGGGTAGGGCTTTCCTCCAAACACTTAAAAATAATTATGCACAACTCGTCAGTGATTCCCTCTCACCTCCTTGTGACCATTTACAAAGCAAATTTTATTCTACAAGCTTGTGGCAGGGCCATTACTAAGCTGGGTGCTGTTGTAAGCTGCTTTTTGTCTGGGCTTTGTAAATTATAAATGCATCCTCATCTCTGACCCGGAATCTAAATACAATTTTAAGGGAAAAAGTCTCCAAAGTGCCAATGTTTAACCAGGTTGCAAAAACTAAAACACCGTGTTTCTCTCAACTCCTCCCAAATTCCATCCCCAACACTAGAGACCTTCCAGAAATATGCTGTCCTTATTTCACCTGGACTCTTCTCTACCTTTGGCCTACCAGCAAACAACAAACAAACCAATCTCAGAATTTTAAAATAATAGAAATCCTATAGAGCCAGGCCCTGTTTTTGCAATGTTGTCTCTTATAGTCCTCATGAGAACACTATGGGGTAGATGAGGCATGGAGATATGATGGAGCTTAAACAAATAAGTACATAAACTCAAGGAATCAGAGGGGAAAGTCATCTATATATTGCTGCCTATGCTCCCATAGTACCCAGTGCATATCACTATGGTAGGAGAGGCCACTGCTGCTTCATAGCCAGAGGCTAAAGAGAGGTGAGGCCTTGCTCAGGGCTCTGAGCTGTCTGAGTGGTGCCAGGACCAGAACCCAAGTATTCTGACCTCAGGTATAGGCTTCTTTCAATCACATAAAGTGTCTTTCCATTTCCAAATGACGGCCGGGCATGGTCACTCACGCCTGTAATCCAAGCACTCTGGAGGCCAAGGTGGGTGGATCACCTGAGGTCAGCAGTTTAAGACCAGCCTGACAAACATGGTGAAACCCCCGTCTTTATAGTAAAATAAATAAATAAATAAATAATTTAAAAAAAGAAAAAAATTTTTTCCAAATTACTTCTAAAATAAGGTCAAGTGGTTTGACTTAATTTTCTTCAACTGAGTCAATCACAAGAATGGCTCCAAGCAATAAAAGCAGCAAAAAAGTGCAGTGTAAAAGAGCACAGGTACTGGAGTAAGACTTCTGTGCAAATACTAACCCCATAATGACCCTGAACTTCAAATTTCTCAGTCACAAAAAAGGGCCTTTCTAAATAAATGTACTCTCTAGGTTTAACTGAAGAACAAATGAAACCACATATGTAAAAGCCCCTAGCCCAATGCTGTCTGTTTACTAAGGTCAATAAATGATCCATCTTCTCAACTCTCATCTATGCCACATGCCCCAGCAAAGTCTTCCTGAATCCCTGTCTATGAAGTAGTAATTTTATATTTTAGATAAAAGAAACCATATATGTGTGTATACATGTTGTGTGCATGTATATCATAGTGAAGAGAAAAGTTAACACTTTAGTGTTCATCGATCCTGCCAAGAATATACAAATAATAGCCACAATCCTCCCCTTTAGGAGATGGGATTTGAATCCAGAGCTCACTGATTCCAAAGTATGCAAGCTTCATCCTTAGGCTTTACTGCCTCCCAACAAACAGCAATATCCTTCAGATCTTGTTTTTCCTTCCTGCTATGTGTTCTATGAAGTTCCAGTGTTTTGAACAAATAGTTGTAAGAATCAAGAAGGGAGATCCATGTGTGACATTTCCCTTCTTCCATACTTTTATCTCGAGGCATATTCAGGGATGCAATTTCTCAAAATTCTTTCATTATCAAAACAGAAGTAAAAGACAGGTTCTAATAATCTCTGTCTGACCAAGGTAACTATCTCAAGGGGGAAAAGTCTTAACAAATCTTTCTGCTGCAATAAAGTATACCAAGAAATGCTATACAAGTGGAATGCTGGCTGGGCACAGTGGCTCATGCCTGCAATCCCAGCACTTTGGGAAGCTGGGGTAGGTGGATCACCTGAGGTCAGGAGTTCCAGATCAGCCTGGCCAATGTGGCGAAACCCCATCTCTACTAAAAATACAAAAATTAGCCAGGCGTGGTGGTGGGTGCCTGTAATCCCAGCTATTCAGGAGGCTGAGGTAGGAAAATCAACTGAACCCAGGAGGTGGAGGTTGCAGTGAGCTAAGATTGCACCACTGCACTCCAGCTGGGTGACAGAGTGAGATTCTACCTAAAGAAAACCCTCAAAACCAAAACCAAACAAAAAAAAACTAAATGGAATGCTTAGAATTCGCCATTACCTGTCTGTGCTCAGACAGAAGCAAATTATTAATGAGATGAGATAGCACAGATTTTTCACTGTTAGCCAGAATCCTAAGTAGAATACAAAATAAAAGCAGCACTATAACAGCTGAAGTAGTCCTAACCTATATCTTACCTGAAAAACCAGAAAATTTCCGGGGATTAGTACTGGTGACAAATGAGGTGCCTTTCACTGGAGATGTCACCTGGCCAGTGGTTGTCAACTTAGCCTGGACAACAGCTTTCTTCTTTGGTGTACTTGCTGCCTTAGAAGACAGATCTGTAGGATCCCAAAAGAAGATAAAATATTTTTCAGTCAAAGATCTCTGCAAAAATGTCCAAAGAATCTATCAGCTGCTCTTAGAGCCTTGCTTGTTAAGTTACTATCCTACCACTAGCCCAAGGTTGGCTGGTGGCTGGTAGTTTCTGAGTGAGGGTAGTAGGTAATAGGGTAATGGGGGAAGAGGAGGGAAGAATATTCTGGAGACAAAAGATCCAGTTACCATTTACCTCTATTAGTAACTTAAATTTTCATCACCATTCTCCACCTCTTATCCCATAAATGATAATCTTCAGAAATAACAATTTGGGGGAAATCAGAAATCATATTTTGATGGATAAAACTTGGGGAACTCCAACTCCACAGAATTAGCTTCAATTTAGAGATGAACAAAGAATAAATGAGGGTCATAGAGCATGTCAATCTAGCATAGGAAAGAAAATTTCCAGCTGCTTAGTTATCTAGTCATGAACTCTACTTGTATTTCTCTTCTTCCAAATGAGAGATGGATCAAGAAGTAACAAAATCTGAGGCAAATAGCTAAGGCAGGTGCAAGGTGGGACGGGGAGTCTGAGAATAAAGTATATGAGAAGTAGAGTTTTCTTTCCAGGAAGCCTTTTTTCCTTTCAAAGAACAAGGATAGATACCCATTTTTAGAACCATTGTTAAGAGTCTTCCTATGGTGAGCAGAATTAAGTTGAAGGTATGAATATTATTTTACAGACACTAAAGGTCAAAGAGGACTAAATGGATTTGGAGGTATTGACATAAAATTTCTAAAATATGCATGTACATGCAAACATGTTATATATATCTATATATAGGTATGAATTTTACATGCATATACATGCATGTATTTTCTAGCTCTGTCTGCTGAAAGGGCTTAGAAACAGTCACCCCATGGCTGGGCACAATGGCTCATGCCTATAATCTCAGCACTTTGGGAGGCCAAGGCAGGCAGATCACTTGAGGTCAGGAGTTTGAGACCAGCTGGATCAACATGGTGAAACCCCATCTCTACTAAACACACAAAATTAGCCGGGTGAGGTGGCACGCGCCGGTAGTCCCAGCTACTTGGGAGGCTGACGCAAGAGAACTGCTTGAACCTGGAAGGCAGAGGTTGCAATGAGCTGAGATCGTGGCACTACACTCCAGCCTGGGCCACAGAGTGAGACTCTGTCTCAAAAAAAGAAAGAAAGAAAGAAACAGATACCCCATGACAATGTGGACACACAGCATCCAGATTTTATTCTTTAATACCATTTCCCACTAACAGGAATCTGGACTCCCCAAAGAAATTGCAAATCTCAGGGCTGCGGAAGGATACATACAGGATAAGACTAAGAGCATCTTGCTATGCCCAAGAGTAAAGAAGTACGTAATAAAAAAAAGTAATGATGGTAAACAGGACACAGGACAATGTAAAGGGGTTCCTAACTGGCCAAATATAAGACAATTAAGTATCAATTAAGTACAGTAATGAATTATATGCTACAGGGAAAATAGTAAAAGAGGATAGTAATGGGTACTCTATTCTTCCAAAATATCAATGTCATAAGAGAGAGACTATGGAAATGTTTCAGATGAAAGGAGGCCTAAGAAACATGACAGCTAAATGCAACAGCCGATATGATCCTAAACTGGGATCTTATACTGCAGGGAAAGCTATTGAAGGTATGATTCAATCTACTGACAAAATAGTATACAGATGGTAGATTAAAGTATTATATCAAGGACAAATTTTCTGAAGATGATAGCTGTATTATGGCCAAATAATGGACATATATCCTATTTTCAAGGTATATACACTGAAGACTTTTAAAGGGCCATGATGTATGCAACTTACTCTCAAACGGTTTTGAGTGAGTGCACACACGTAGGCGTGTGTGTGTGTGTGTGTGTGTGTGTGTGTGAGAGAGAGAGCGAGCACATGAACAAATATGATAAAGCAAAGAGAGTACAATGTTAATAGATAAACATAGGTAAAAGAAATATGAGTGTTCTTTGTACTATTTTAATCTCACAACACGTCAGTAAGTTTAAAATAATTTCCAAATAAAGTGTTAAAGGCCGGGCATGGTGTCTTGTGCCTGTAATCCCAACTACTTAGGAGGCTGAGTAAGGATGACTTGAGTCCAGCAGTGTGACACTGCAATGAGCTATGATTGTGACATTGCACACTAGCCTGGGCAACAGAGTGAGACCCCATCTCTAAAAAAACAAAGTTAAAAAAAAGAGAAAGAAAGCATTTGAACTCCTTATCCCTTTTTCTCTCAGCACCATAAAGATGAGAAAGCAGTGTTATCTACCCTACCTGCAATGTGCTGGGTTATCTGTTCCTTCTCGTTATCTTCCAGCTCCTCCCAGCCTTCCAGCTCTGTGAGGTCCTCGATTTTTTTTGTGGTGGCCCGGGCCCGCTCTAGTTTCTCAAACATGCATTTAATGTGGTACCACTCTTTCATATCACCCCCAGTCTCTGAGAAGGGATTTGGTACCACTTTGCCAATTCGGCATACGCCCTTCACAATCTTTTCCTTGCATTTTTTGCAGCCAGCTGTGCCACGCTTGGCATAGTCCACACAGAACCGTTGCTCAGCCATCTCACAGGGGCCACTGCAGAGTCCCACATGCAACCCTGGCAAGAAAACAAGGTAGGTGGCACGTGATCTTAGATGGCTTCCCTGGAATGACACAACAGGCTTTCTTCTCAGGAAGAGGCGCTGTCCATGAAGCAGATCTGTTTCTGACCACTGGCTGAACTGTCTGACATCAGGCCAGTGATGTCCTCGGAATAGGTACAGTTCTTTTTGGCTGAGTGCACGGATGGTTTGTGGAAAGAGGATCTTGAAAGTCAAAGACATACAGCTGCATGAAAGTGTAGAAAGCCAAAAAAAAAAAAAAAAAAAAAAGAGAGAGATAAACAAGGAGATAGGCTTCGAATTTCCCAAAGGCCAGCGTCTTATATAGTCCATGCTGACTAATAATTAAACACTTCCCAAGTATTACATTCATTATCTACTCTACAGCATGAAACAGAGTTCTGATACAGGAAAAGCCAGCTTCCAAAAGGTTGTTCAATTATCTAACGCACACATGTACATCTAGTACATCATAATGAAGAAAATCCAAACAACATAAAAGCTCTTTTTACGCCACCAGCAACATACGATACTCATAATGGATGATGACCTTTAAATATTACAAGATCCTGAAGTTTCTTTTTCATCCCCAGTAAAAATTACATTATGTACATGAAGCTTTTATTGTGAAGTTCAACATATGTGCCATCCTCAGAAATCAAGCCACTATATAGATTTGTGATTTAATTACAATCCCTATATTGAGAGACAACTAAGCCTGGAATCAGACTGCCTGAGTTCAAATCCTAGCTCAGTCACTTACTAGCTGTATAACCTTGATGGGTTACTTACCCGTTTCTGAGTTTCCTCATCTGTCAAATGTGGCTAATTATGGTACCTAACTCAAAGAGCTGTTCTAAGAGTAAAGTCCTTAAAACAAGAGTTGGGCACAGAGCAAGAGCTCTCACTGATTAATGTTAGCTCCTATTATGATCAGTGAAGTCTTTGTCTTTCAAGAAGAGGCTCCCGATATGCAATTAAGCTGTTTATAATTCAGCAACTTGAATGAGGGAATGCTGAAGCAACTGGACAGCGGGACTCATAGGAACTCGTAAATCAATCCAAAAGGAAAAAGATTGTATCAGCATCTTCTTAGAGTCATGTTTTCTAAACCATTTTGTAGTCCTAGTTTTAAGTATACTGGAATTATGTATTTTCTCAGTCTGCACACGCTGTGAAGCAAAATTGTTATCATATTATAATAAAAAGCAGGCTTTGCTTACTGTAGCGCAACTTGGTGCGGAGAAAAGCAGGTGGACCCGGAATAAGGGATGGGAGTGCAAGTCTGACCGTATATTACGGACTATTACCTCGGAGAAAACTCTTAATTTATCTGCATCTGTTTTCTTATTTCTAAGACAAGGTAAATAATACCTACCTCACTGGATAGTTGGGAAAATTACAACGAATCCATAAATGCGCTGGTTTTGGTGGGGGTCGGTTCGGAACTCCCTACAAACGTATACAAAACGTACATTCGAAGATGCACGTCTTTTTGGAGGAGGTCCATCACTTTCGTGACATTCACAAAGGGCTACATAACGCCCAAAGTTGAAGAACTACAGAGGTGAGGTAAGTGAGGTCATAAAAGGAGGTCAGAACCAGCGAGTTTCAACACTTTTCCTAGATGATGGATTTATAGGGCAACCTGCTAGTGAAACCAGCGTATCTCAGGGAGGCCCGGGACGCGCGGGGCCGCGAGGAGGCACAATGCAGCTCGGAGGAAACCGTCTGTCCCTCCCACGGGAACCCTCACCGCCGCCGCAGCCCAGGCGCCCGAGAAGGAAACTGCGGAGGCCTGGCCGCCGCCGGTGCTCCCCAAGGCCTCCCCGCGCCGCTGCCGGGAAGTGGCGGGGACTGCGGGGCGGGGGCTTAGGCCGCGACCCCCGGGGAAGGCAGAAAGGAGCGCGCCTCCACCGGGCCCGGGACGCGGGCGGGAAGTGATCAGGGCTCCCAGACTCCCGCCCGAGCGCGCCCGCTTCAGCGCGGGAGGACGCACGCCGGGCCGGGGTCCCAAAAGGCCCGGTGGGTCCCGCCGGGCGCACAGCCTGGGCGCCGGCCTCCCAGCCTTGTGCGGCCCCGTGGAGGTCCGGGGGAGCCGCGAGCCTCCCCTCAGGCTCCCGGGGGGCACCCACGTCACGGAGGGTGTGCCCCGGGGCTCCGCAGGCGGGCGGGGGAGGAGCCGGGGGGCTGGCTCCCCGGCCGCGCTGAGCTCCTCGCCCCGGCCCACTGCCTTCCCCACGCCGGGCCGCGCCGCCCCGCGCCGCCCCTCACCTGCCTCTCCAGCTCCGGCGCTCACTTCAGGCCTCGGAAGTAGCTCCCCACAGGCCGCGGGCAGCCCACGACGGTTGAAGCGCCTGTCTCTTTAAATACGGGTCCTTGAGCTGGAGGCATCGCGCAGGCGCAAGAGCCAAGTCCGCGGCCACGCGACCTGTCTCCGCCCCCGCCTGCCACGTGGGTCGTAGTCGCATTCTGCTGGGTGCTGTTTGGGGTAGTTTTCCACCTGCAATCGCGGCCCGGGAAGCTGAGGTCGAGGGGACACGGTGGCTTCTCGGGACGCAGCCTGCCCTGAACTTCCGAGGCTCCCCTTGATTTTGTCATACTGTTAGAGAGGAGCTAGTTTTTAAAGATTTTTGGTGGATAAACTATATTGTAATGAGGTCGGGGAAGGCAAAGATCGCGTCAGTCTTTTTTTTTTTTTTTCTGTATTTTCTCTGTGTCTCGCAGACAGCCTAGTTAGTATTCAGTAACTTTCATGGAATTGAAATGAGACACTAAATAGCAGGTAAATATAAAATGTAAACGAGTGATGAAGGCGTAACTCCTTGACTGTATATCGTTCATAGTGTATTATCTCAAATCTCAAGCCAACTCCATGAGAGTTGGGGATGGCGATTTTTACAAGAGTAGCAGCCTGAGGGTAAGTGACCTCTTTAGAGTCTAGAAACAGCAAACTATTGGGCCTCGTTAGGTAAGCAAAGAACAGATTCCCGAGAGAATTCTGTGCTATGAGATGAAGTTTGGTCTTTACTCTGTAGAGGATGGAGAGCCATGAAGAGTCTTAGGGAATACTGTTGAAGCTGGGTGGGGAGAGACTAAGGCAAGGGAACAAATGGAATGCGACCCATGTGAGAGACGAAATTCAGCTAGTTAGGGTGGAGATAAGTACGTTTATGAAGATAATTTAGAATTTAAATGATCTCCTAGATAAAGTGCTCATTTATGGATAAAATAAGAATAATTTGAGTGAGTAGAAAGTTAATGATGCCATCAACTGAAGTAGAAAATGAGAGAGGAAGAGGAGGTATTGGGGTAGAAGAATGAGTTTTGTTTTGGATACATTTAGTTTGGTTGACTAACTGCGATTCCACTGTTTGGAGGGGAGTAAAGCCTGTCCTTTCTCTAATGTGCAGCAGAATGAACAAGGGGTTTGAAATTAGAAGGTCACAGGAGACTCCCGTCCTAGCTATGATAATTGAGTGATCTTGAGCACATCTCTACAACTGCATTTGTTACATTTTTTCTTAAGTCTCTTGACTGTATGTCTTTTTTCCAGTGCTGTAATCACTAGCCACACGTGGTCATTGAGCATTTGAATGTTGCATGGAATTGAAATGTACTATAAGTGAAAAAAATACACACCAAAAAAATTCATACTAAAAAAAGTAAAGTATCTCATTAATAATATGCACCACCTGCACATTCTGCACATGTGTCTCAGAAATTAAAGGATAATAATTAAAATAAAAATGTGCACCACATAAGGACATGTAGGCCAACAATGGACCAAATATTTGAGAGTGGTCCCCTAAGGTTATCATGGAGTTGAAAAATCTCTATCATGTAGTGACAGCACATTACTCATGTGTTTGTGGTGATGCTGGTGGAAACAACCCTACTGCATTGCCAGTTATATAAAAGCATAGCACACACAATTATGTACAGTACATAATACTTGATAATAAAGGACTATGTTGCTGGTATATATATTTACTATACTATACTTTTAATTGTCATTAAATTTAATTTTTTTTTGAGACAAGAGTGTCTGTCGCCCAGGCTGAAGTGCAATGGCATGATTTCAGCTCACTGCAACCTCCGCCTCCTGGGATCAAGCGATCCTCCTGCCTCAGCCTCCTGAGTAACTGGGATTACAGGCGCCCACCACCAGAACTGGCTAATTTTTTTTTTTTTTTTTTTTTTAGACAAGAGTTTTACTCTTGTCACCCAGGCTGGAGTGCAATGGCAGGATCTCAGCTCACTGCAAACTCTGCCTCTTAAGTTCAAGCAATTCTCCCCTCTCAGCCTCCTGAGTTGCTGGAATTACAGGTACCTGCCACCACGCCTGGCTAATTTTTATATTTTTAATAGAGATGGTGTTTCATCATGTTGTTGCCCAGGCTGGTCTTGAACTCCTGACCTCAAGTTAATCCCCCCCACCTCAGCCTCCCAAAGTGCTTGGATGACAGGCTTGAGCCACTGTGCCCAGCCTTATTGTTATTTTAGAGTATACTCCCACTTATTAAAAAAAAGTCAACTGCTCCTACTTATTGAAAAAAAAAAAAAAAGGTAACTGTAAAATAGCCTCAGGTAGATCTTTTAGGAGGTATTCCAGAAGAAGGCATTGTTATCATAGGAGATGACAGCTCCATGAATGTCAGTGCCCCTGAAGGCCTTCCAGTGGGTCAAGATATAGATAGAGGTGGAGGATGGTGATACCGATGATCTTGACCCTGTGTAGGCTTACTAGGCTAATGTGTGTGTTTGTGTCTTAATTGTTAACAAAAAAGTTTTAAAAGCAAAAATAATTGAAATTTTTTTAAAATAGGAAAAACTTATAAGGATACAAAGGGAAAAATATTGGCTGGGCACAGTGGCTCACATCTGTCATCATAGCACTTTGGGAGGCTGAGGCAGGCAGGAGGAGTTCAAAACCAGCCTGGGCAACATATTTACAAGAAAGAAAAAATTGATTAAAAAAAAGAAAAAAATTGTTATACAACAGTGCTCTGTGTGTGTGTGTGTGTGTGTGTGTGTGTGTGTGTGTGTGTTTGAGACAGAGTTTTGCTCTTATCACCCAGGCTGGAGTGCAATGGCATGATCTCGGCTCACTGCATCCTTCGCCTCCCAGGTGAAGTGATTCTCTCACTCAGCCTCCCAAGTAGCTGGGATGATAGGCACCTGCCCCCACACCCAGCTAATTTAAAAATATTTTTAGTAGAGACAGGGTTTCGCCATGTTGGCCAGGCTGGTCTTGAACTCTTGAGCTCAGGTTATCTGCCTGTGTTGGCCTCCCAAAGTGTTGGGATTACAGGTGTGAGCCACTATGCCCAGCCGAGCTTTTTAATTTTATAAAACTGCGTTCTTGTGTAATAACACTTAGCTTAAAACACAAACAGGGCCTGGTGTGGTGGGTCACTCCTGTAATTCCAGCACTTTGGGAGGCTGAGGCAGGCAGATCGCCTGAGGTCAGGAGTTTGAGACCAGCCTGGCCAACATGGCGAGACCCCATCTCTACTAAAAATAGAAAAATCAGCTGGGCGTGGTGGCATGTGCCTGTAATCCCAGCTACTTGGGAGGCTGAGGCAGGAGACTCTCTTGAACCTGGGAGGCAGAGGTTGCAGTGAGCTGAGATTGTGCCACTGCACTCCAGCCTGGGCAACAGAATGAGACTATCACAATGAAGAAAAAAAAATTAAAAATCTTGTAAAGTAAAAAAGTTAACAGTAAGCTAGGGTTAATTTATTATTGAAGAAAGAAGAAATTTTTAAAGTAAATTTAGTGTTGCCTAAGTGTACAGTTTATAAAGTCTATAGTACTGTAGAGTAATGTGAGGCCTTCACATTCACACCCCACTCACTCACTGACCCACCCTCAGAAACTTCCAGTCCTGTAAGCTCCCTTCATGTGGAGTAGGCTATACAGTGTACCATTTTTTTTAATACCTTTTGTGTGTGTGCTGTACTTTGTCTATGTTTAGAGGCACAAATACTATTGTGTTATAGTCACCTCCAGTGTTCAGTATAGTAACATGCTTTACAGGTTTATAGCCTAGAAGTGACAGTCTATACCGTATAGCTTAGGTATATAGTAGGCCATACCATCTAAGTTTTCTAAGTACACTATGATATTCCCATCACAAAATCACTTTATGATACACTTTTCAGAACGTATTCTGTTGTTAAATGATTCATGACTATCCCATATGTATGTTAATTACTTATTGAAATGATTTTTTGGATATGTTGTGTTAAATAAAATATTAAAGTTCATCTTACCTGTTTATTTTTACTTTTTGAAAATGTGGCTACTAGAAAATATAAAACTGCATGTTTGGCTTGCACTGTATTTCTGTTAGAGTGCACTTGCCCTAGATTTCAAACTTACATGTAGAGGGCAGCATCTGTGCCATATGCTCATTGCCTAGAACAGTGCTGGGCACTTAGTAGATACTCAGCAAATATTTATGAATAATGAATGAAATTTATGAGTGAATGGAATGAATGAATGAAACTCTGGAAGTGATAAGATCCCTTAGAAGGATGTTTATTATATTGTAACAATATTTGATATAAACTTGAAAAGACTCAGGCTCTAAATGTTGGTTTCACTTGATGAGAGCTCCCTGGAACCCCTAATCTCTGATTCAGGTCCCCTGCTGTGAAATGGAGCTAGGTACAAAAGATCTGGAGCTAGGTAGGAAAGCCGGCAGTTGCATTTCTTTAGAAAAGTTGGAACTGCTTTACCAAGGAGAATGAGGCAAACTGTGGTGGGGAGAGCACGGCTTCGGATTCGTAGAGACAGGTTTGAATTATGTTCCACTATCAGCTGTCTCTAACTCATCTATTTTGTTAACTTTTCTGGATCTCAGTTTTCATGGTGAAAGGGGGATAGTTTTGCATTTTACATTTAGATCTCTGATCTAGTTTGAGTTTTTTTCTGTGAAGGGTATAGGTCTGTCTAGATTCCTTTTTTGCCATGTGGATCCCCGGTTGATCTAACACCATTTCTTGAAAAGACTGTTTTCTCCTTTGTATCGCTTTTGCTCCTTTGTCAAAGATCATTGACTGTATTTATGTGGGTCTATTTGTAGGCTCTGTATGCTGGTCCATTGGTCTATTTATATGTTCTTTGACCAGTCCCACACTGTCTTGATTCCTGTAGCTTTATAGCAAGCCTTGACTTAGATAATGTCAGTCCTCCAACTTTGTTCTCCTCCTCCAATATTGTGTTGGCTATTCTGGATCTTTTGCTTTTTCACATAGCTTTAGAATCAGTTTCTAAAGCCAATATCCACAAACGAACTTGCTGGAATTTTGATTGGGATTGCATTGAATATATAGATCACATTGGAAAGAACTGACATCTTGACAATATTGAGTATTCATATC